CCTCAGATCAGCTGATTTCCTCCATATTTCACTTCTTACTCATTGGAAATTGAAAAACACTGTACAAAGTATTGTAAAGATGGTTAGTGTTCAGAGGCAGATTAATAAAAAAGAGGTATGTACTGGTTGTTTACAATGTTCAGTCCGTGATTTCAGACTTGGAAAGACTTGGCATTTCTACCAATCAAAGTAGTCAGACTTGTAGACTTTATAATAGAGGTGTGAATGATGGAACGGCCGGCAATTTGATTGGCTGCTACTGTTTGGTAGATGAGCTGATTCGCCTGTGTACAAATGGCTGGCAGATTCGTGCAGATTCAGGACTTTTGAACTCACAGTAGTAAGTGGACACAAAAGGGCCCAAAGCAAGTAATGACATACGGCCTCCATATCCAATGCAATAAATGTCACGGAAGATCCCGACTTGAGTCAAGTCTACATTGCTACCAGCTAATGTGCTGTTTTCAAGTCTTAGCCTCATAGGTTTTGATAAGACCCTGTGGTGTGGACCACTTCAGGAAGTGATCGTGTCCTATGATCATTTATAACAATCTGTCTTTCCTCTTCCGTGTATGTACTGGTACCTGTCAGTAGTTTCTTTCAAAATCCTGGTGAGTCTTTTGTTTATCACATGCCTTGCACATGTCATCGTTGGCAACAACTAAGAATGACAAGGTAACCTCTGTCAAAGTGTTTTGCCACGTACAAGTAATTTGCATACATAAACCATGCAGTTGTAAATTGTTAACAGCCGCCACAGGCTTTGAAAAGACTTTCTGTTTCATATATTTCCAGTGCTATGCGCGTACATGTTCGCTTACAATGAAATTTGTTTCTAAAACTGAAGTGCGTTTCAAAAACTTTTTCAATTCCGGTGGTTTTTCCGTTTTTGGCAGAGAAGCAGTAGTCTCATTAATGCATCACTGTTCAACTGTTCCTGACCCTCAAAAGTCAAAGGTTAACCAGAGTGCTTGTACTGATACAAATGCTACATTGCTTTAACAAATGATGGCAAATTATCTCTCTGATGGCTGCAGGAAGTCGGTGGCTTAGGGTGTAATACATCTACATGCATTCATAATTTCAACCGGATATCCAGCAGGTGGTATCTGGTGTGTCCACCAACACCAAATCTGACTCATGTCAAACTGAGTTCGGTTCTATTTCCCCCTCATGGGCATTATGGAAAGGAGCTGGCTCAGTATTGATAACAAATATTATTACAATATACATGTACATGTATTGTATTGCAAAACCAGGGCTAGATTGTTGTGTATGCACGTGTTAAATCCCCGAGATTTGGCATTGCATGTACGTGTCTCCTCCTGTGAAATCATCTTGGGCTAGAGATTTTTTTGTTTTTCTAATTCTCTCTATTTACATGTATGCACTGCCCAAAGCATTCGGAAACACTGCAGGCCATGTTCTCACAATTTGATGTTATTGTAGGGAAATCAAATTGAACTTTTCTGAGGCAGAAGGTTGCAGTTGAAGCCTGCAAGATGAGGTCTAAAGTTGAAGTCCACGTTAGAGATGAAAACCTGCTTTGGAAATTGCTCCAGAACACTATGGAAACACTGGTTAACCTTGTTGAACTTTTCCACAGTTTGCTTGTTTTTCCCACGATGAACTCTAGCGCCGACAGTTTTGTTTGTTTGTGAATTCCAGGACCGCAGATTGTGTCGCACTTCCCGGCCGATTTTAATGAAGTCGATGTCACCAAAGAGTTGCCCAAGTTCTGTTTCCCATGTGATCTTAGCACGTAGGTTGGCTCCAAGCCATTTTTGGAGATTCATAACAGTAATGAAATGTTGTTACAGTGCATCAGTATTACCCCCGCTCATCGGGCATACAAGGCTTTTCCTAAAAAGAAATATATATTAAAAGCTGCGTGGGAGACATGGATAATTTGATATGCACTTCTCAATGCTGCAGTTGTGGCACAAATGATTAATTCAATCACAGCCACCTCTTAAAGAGCAAAACGGCGATATTGTGACACACAAATGAGTTTTTGCAAAAAGATTTGTGCACATTCTGTCGTATTACTTCTTTACGGGGAAATTTGGCTGTCGTGTTGGAGTTCAGTCTGCGTGACTCGCATTGAAGTGACACTTCACTGTTCACAAGGCATAACTTGAATATACAGGAACCAGTCTGCAGAGTCAAGATATCAAATTAATACAAGATGATGAGACTACTGTGATCAAGTTTCTTGATCCTAAAAATCCATATTTTTCTCAGTTTTGCCAATTGAAAACTTTAAAGAGAAGTTAAATGTCAAACAAGGATGTACATGTGTCACTCAGTTGTAAATAAAAGTACTGTATGTTTGGTGCTAGTCCTGGCTGGATGTTCACTTATTTGAAATTTGAAATTGTTATTTTGTTGATTTGTAATATTCGGCTAGCTTTTTCCTGGCAGGTGTAGTTTTTTTCACTTGTGATTTCTTCTTTCACTTGAGACAGGTATAACATAGCAGGCCAGTTTTTCACATTTGTCCTGACGGGCTTGGACCACACGCAGAGATTTGGCTTCTGCAGACACCCACCGGGGGCCGCCAAATGCCTCTGCATTCTGAGGTTGGTCAACAATAGGTTCTGGCTGGCCCAGTCCTGACAAGTTTAACGATCACGTATTGAGGACATCTTCAGCAGAATGTGTGTTGGTTTGGGTCTTGCCCTCGCAAGTTTGCAAATTTTTTCCAAGGAGTTGATTAGTCCTTGATTATCTTGGCTAAAGGGCACACCAGAGTTATATTTACATGTACCCATCTGCTTCATGCAAACTTTCTTTTGTGGTTAAGGCTGGTCTAAAGCAAGAATTGTCAAGATATCGGCAAAATGTAATGCTTTACTAGTGCCATCTGTGCATAGTCTTCACATACATGCATTTGTACTAGTATGGAGCTCAGCTTTAAAGTAAAGGATAACACTTTGTTGGGAACTGGTTACAGGCATGCACATTGTATGAAATTTTAGCTGGTGACCTGTTTTTGTGAAACAATTGCTTTCTGTGTTTAGTAGTCTCGTGAAATAGACCCCGTCATACTTAGCGTTTATGCAACCTGAAAAATCATTCCACCATCAAAGCTTTTTCACGTCTATTCTGGTGGATAGTAAATCCTAAAACCACTCACTTGGTATCAGTTTTTTTTCCTTCCAAGGTTTATTTTTGTCTAAGTAGTAGTGGTTAGAACTCTTTCAGCGATATCCCAGTGTTTCAACTTGTGACTTTATTTCGAGATTTCTATATGCCACTTTATTCTTGGCAAATGTGGACATTTCGTATGAATGTTGACTTTTGTAGTTCAGCCAGGATTCTGATGTCATTGTTAACCTTTTAAATTAACCGCACCCCCTCTTAATGCAAAATGTTTGACCTCCTTAAACACATGTTTGCATGACTGCTTACCAATTTACTTTATTTTTTTCCCCACTTTCTCCTCTAGTTACTTGCCATGGTTTGATATATTCTACAAGATACTTAACCAAATTGCTGAGTTGAAGATCCACCATCAGGTAATGGACCTGCAAGGTCACCGCATTTCATTGCCTTGCATTGCAGGAACTGGAAGTATGCACTCAGTGCTAAATTGACCAATTGATCTGTCCACAAGTGCGCCCTCATTGGTTACCAAATGGGAAGGTTTGAGCCGACAGTTGAATCCCAGATTTGTCACATTTCCCAAAAGGAGAAAATTGCTGGCTAAAAAGAAAACAAGACCAAAAACTCTCTTGTTCACGAGTGCAACCTTCTGCATTTATTGCCAACATACAGAAATCAAATATCTTAAGAAATACCTGTAGAAGGGTCGCTGAAAGATTGACAAGATTATGAATCCAGAACTGCCTTTTATCTTCCTTTGCACTGCAGGAAGAGATATGCCAAGAGTTGATAACCAAGTTGTACGAGGCAGAAGTCCCTAAGGCTTACCAACAGTTTCAGATATCTGTACCAGTAGAGGGCGACTCACCAGTGGTATGTTGTATTTGATCATGTTAAGTGCTTGGACCAGCCAGTTTGGCACCTAGGGGAAAGTTTGAGAGACAACTATCTGAGCAGAAGCACCCCCTCCTCATTGGTTGAAAAAAAGCCACGTTGGTCAGGAGTGTTCATTTTATTGGTAGCGATGCGACTGTAATGCATTTCACAGTCGCTCATGAACCAGCGAACTTCAGCTCCAACCAAAGGAGCCTCCGTTGCTAAGAAAAGTGCACCCTCTCTTGGTCCAGCTCTCTTGGTGTTCGGTATAGTTCAGCTAACACCACCCAAAGGATGAATGGTTTGGGCTGTCTAGTCAAGCATTTCGAACAAGACCCTGGGGCCTGGTCGCACTGCTGGTTATCAGTAGCTCATTTCATTTATCGTTACGAAGGGAAGCATTTTCATGAATATAATTGTGTTGAGATTTAAGCGACTTTGTACGCTGCAAGAAATGAAGCCAGTGGTAAACTGTGAGTAACTCAGAGATCTCAAAAATAGGCCAGCTAGGGTTGTTTGAGTGTACATGTAACTGCATTGCAGTTGGACTACTGCTGGTCGAGCTAGAGTTCGCGCCCAAACTTACCCTAAGGTGTTACCTTACTTTTTACCCTTCTCAGCCGGCCTGTTATCAAACATTCCTGAAACCCTCTCATATCCTTGTTGTATGAGTCCTTGTGGGAGGGGTTATGATGAAGGTCATTGTTGCCACTTTGATGCAGACGGCTAAAAGCCACTCAAGGCAAATATGAAGAAATTTCAGCGTCAAGAAACATTCGTTGCAAAAGTTTCTCTATTATTTCACCGCCCTGCGATGACAAAAAATTGTGTCGATGTAAAGCATCAAGCTTGGGAGCGCAGTCCCGGGAAAACATTTGCCTGAAGTGAGGGAGAGGAACTTCTGGATGAATCTTGAACAATGAACCAACAAAGACAGTTACACTTCGAAGAGTTATGTTCGCAAGATCTCTTTTCCTTTCCAAATCCCAAACTACATCTTACCTCTTCAACTGCCAAAAGCTAACGTTCACTTTGAAAACAGCAAATAAATCTATCGCTGTTACTCAAATTCTGTTTCATACCGTCATTTGCAAATCATTCTAACGGATGTACGCATGTACGCGTCTGCTCAAGTGCCATACATAATTACAGTTACATCTTCACACCACTACATTAATTTGGACTAGTGTAAATTCTGAGACCATAAAGCACCTGTGCCCACGCTGGGGCCATTTACTGTACTCTTGGGCTGGTGAAGGCAATTTGTGAGAGAGTGCTTCTCCCAAGGACACATGCAATGTAGTCCCTAGAGGCTGTGCTTCCACCCATTCCCTTCAGAATTGGCCACAACACTCCCAAGATTACCTTGGAATCTCTAGACTTGAAATTGTTGGTTCTTTTTTCCAGGAGATTGCCTTTCAGGGTCCCGACAGCAAGTCGCTTCCCAGGATACCGAACAATGTAAGGGACAAGATAAGAGAACATCTATTCGTGGAAGAAAAATATTCTAAGTTCTTTTATTCTGTTGCCTAAAAAAAATAATACAAGTCTTAACATTTTTTGGCCTTCTTTAAATCATTTGCGATGTTACAAACTTCAGAAATGACATCATTTTCCGCATGAAAGTAGGTTTCAGAGCCCTGAATGTTCACATATATAACCCATAGGCTGTATGTGTGGCTTGGGGATTTTGTTCAAATATATTCTTAGTGCCACTTATATTTGGTGCCATTTTTTACACTTTTTCTGATAGAGGAACATCATGGAATACTTCAACGCCATCAACCCCAGCAATATGATGGTATTATTTGTCAGGTGAGAGGCACAGATTGGTGCTGTGAGCCTTTTCTTCATTTACGATTATCAGCAAACCCAACTTTGTTTCAATATGGCCTCACGTTTCCGCTTTGTGTTTGCGTACATTTGCAGCCTCTTATACGAAAGAAGAATTTTAATCACGTCAGATAAGCTCAGCAGGGTAAGTATTACTTGCTTTGTTATGCTTCCAGTCTTAATGAAAAAAGGATATGGCCTCTGTCTTTGAAAAAGAAATTGCCCTGGACTACGTTTTCATGGATATTCTAGCTGGCATTAAATTTGGACTGGATTTGTAATATCAGGAATGTTGACCTTGTTTGTGTATGATGTTTATTTTGGACGCGGGTCTTGAACATAGTCCCAAAGTCAGAGTGGAACCTTCCCAGTGACTGCTGTTATTGTCTTGTCAACAGTTAACGGCGTGCGTGCACAGCGCCGCCTCCTTGCTATACCCTCTCTACTGGCAGCACATCTACATACCCGTCATGCCGGCACACCTCATCGACTACTGCTGCGCCCCTATGCCGTTCCTCGTCGGGGTCCATTCCTCGTTCATGCCGGTGAGTTCAGTCCTGGATTCTGGTGGAGAGCACCAGTGGCCTAACTACGGTAAATTTCAAGGGGGGCGCCTGCAGGTGCTGACATTCTTTCAGGGGGGAACTGTTAGTCAGTGGACTGTCTTGGGTACATTTCAACATTTTAATGTCCCCCATGCCCCTGAATCCCCCAACAGTTAAGTGACTGGAAAACATCCCCTAGTGCTCTGAAGCAATGCCGTCAGCAGGGGCCACCTTCCCTGTACGTTAAACCAATAACATAAATGGTCTGACTATTGGAGTTATAGTTGAGTCCATTTATATGCATGGTATATGCGTAGTATTATATAGTATTATATGTACACTGTATATTATATGTATATTTACTGCCAGATATTAAAGTTGTTTAATGGGGATAAAGCTGAATAAAAACAGACACTGAACAGAGCGCACTTACCGAAAGATATCCAAGATTTCATACATTAGAATCTGTAAAAAACTAAGTCTCAAAGACCAACACTTTCTGAGTATTCTTTTAATACTTTTGTACCAAAGTGTTATTAAATAGTATTTGGTTTCCAGAATCCCAAGTTTATCCTATTTCCAAGTTCATTCGCTGTGTGCCGTCAGTGTCTCTCTCGCTGAGTCCATATTGAACAGCTCAGTATTTGGTGGTGAAAAGAGTGCTCGAAAGGTTCTTGACAACACTTCTCATGAGTGGCAGACTGGTTCCCTACCCTTACATTTCAAGGGGCAGGAAGGATAGTGTAGAGGCTTGGAACCAGCTGTTCTTTTAGTTGTGGCCGTGACTTGGAAATAACAGGCACACCTTTGGAAACCACTGCATGGTAGCCGTAGCCACTTCTCAAAGATGTGTATGCGGCTGCTTGCCTCACCCAATTGATTTGGGCACAAGACTGACTTTTTGTTATTCTGAATTTTAGCAAGTGCGAAAGATGGCACTGGACGAAGTCGTCATTCTCAACGCAGACAACAACAGCATAGAGACGCCATTTGATGATTTACAAACTCTACCTTCAGAATCTGTAAGTGGTTCCTTCACAGTCTCATCAATTAAAAAAGGGGCTGCTGTATAATCCTCTCAGTAATCTCATTGTGCTACATCTTACAAAATCCATCATTTGGTTCCCTGGGATTTTCATAGATCCAAGACTTTTGGAAAACTTCCCTTGGAGTTTTGGATATATTTTGCTTTTCTGAATGAGGTTTTATTTGATATTTCCAACCATTTTGCATCTGCTCTGAACAGAATTGACCCATTCATTCCTACAGGTGTTTTCAGGGTTTTTAGAAAATGTTCTAAATTCAATACAGTAAGACAAAAGTGGTCAAACCAAGGCACATATGCGGCACGCTAAGATCATTCCAAACAGAAAGGCTGAGTGTTTTGTTTTGACGGGTCTGCAAATAAAATCATCAATTTTTACTTTTGTTTTTTTTTTAGGTCAGTCAGCTCAAGAAGAACTTGAAAAACACAGAGTTATGCAATGGGGATGGAGTAGCCAGGTCCTTCCTGAAGGTCCTCGTTTATCTATTAGGAGGCTACAGGGAGGCCGTCAGGGTCAAGACCGTGAGTTCTGATCCACACGACTGTCCACTTCCTCGATTAGGAAATAACGGTTTCATTGTTGATGCTTTTTTTGGATATCGAATTCATACTTTGTTGTACATTGGGACTAACGGATGATATATTGGATGTCTCTTACACTTCAGGGCTCGCAGCTGATGTTTGATCAAGAAATTTTTGTCCAGTGTCGGTCCAGCCACCTGCAGCCGTTCTTAGAAAAATTATTGCAGCTACAGCATTTCACTCAGGTATGACCCGTTGCATTTGTTGTTCCCCTGTGTTGCCCTCAGTGTGCTGTTCTCAGCTCAGATGAGGTAGGAAGGTTTTTTTGTGGGGCTAGGGCCTTTGTCCGAATTCTTGTTCTTAATTATCGCTGATTTTCAGTGCGGAGGCGTATCAATTTTTTTTTTCTGCCCTCAACAGTTCATCGATTCCAAGGTCCAGCAAATTGCGTCGGGCAAGCCCATCAACGACCTCTTTGAAGAAGAGCTTGAAATAGCGAGACAAGAAGGAAGTGAGTACTTAAAAAACACATAAACGGGAAGAGGATTACGTCGTATGGGCAGATAGCGCTGTGATTGCCCAAACAACTCATCTTTTGATTTCAAAGTGAATGCAAAACATGCAACGATGCTTTCCCTTCATTTTGGTGTTGTCACTTTTGATGCGCAAGGTCTGTCCAGCAAGAACTTGAAGGAGCAGCTCAAGATACACCTGACAGACGGCAAGAAGATGTTGAAAGACGCGCAGAAGAACATCCAGCAGAAGGTAGGAGCAATCTTTCACGTTGGCAGCAGCTTAACAAAAGCCGCTTCAAGGAAAATAACACAAGAGCTGCATGGTTTCCACACTTGCCGCACCACAGTTAAAAACAAGCACGACTGTGGTTTTGGTTCCCGTACAATTTTTGTTTCTGTTCATGTTTATATAATGAATACTGCTAACAGTTTTACTTGAAGTTAATTGACAGATTAAGGTTGAATGTTTGCTTTAACCACTTCATGCTGGGGCATTTTTCAATGTTGATGATGCTGGGCCGGCATTACTATCATTTTTTCCGTTTTCTAAATCCTTCAAAAATTCATCATATCATTTAACTGTCGTTTATAGCTGCACGAAGTAATTTTTAGGCACTACTCTAAGTTGACAGGNCGGTGTTGTATAACTGTCTTTTGTTCACGAACCTGGCTCAGTGCACTGCTGACCTCTTTTCAATAGGGGCCAGATTAGCCTGCAGCGGTGCTGTGTGGCTCATCGCTGCAGTGGTGGAGCGCTTTTGTCCCCTGTGGTAATCCGCTCGCTCTCAATGCCCCAAACCCTGGTATACGGTTTCAAAACAAGGCTGGATTATCACCACTTTTGAAGGTGAAAAATGTTGGTAATGCCCTGCAGCCTGGTCTTTTGTTCTGAGTACAGTCTTTTGTTACAGGGCCCTGTTTCCTTTGTCCAAGTTCAGAGACCCCGGCCACGCATATAAACCATACGTCTCCGATTCCGGAGTCCCCGGCAGGAAGTGGTTAACTGTGAATGATATCGTATCAGTATGCGGAAAGACATGCACGTCTATGTCCCCTAAGATGGTTTGGTCTCATCCAAGAATTGAAATAGCCAACTTTGTTAAAAAATGACACACGTACTGCTTAAAATCTGGGCATTCTTGTTTCAGTGTCTGAGAAGTGTTTGTTTCGTTCGTTAATCTTCCTCTGGCTTGAACTTTTTAAAATTTCAGCACTTTCTGTGCAGCTTGCTGTCTTGCTTTAGCCTACAGTTGGCTTCCCCACCCCCCAACAATGGGGAAATTTTGCGGCAAAATGTTCATGGTATTAGTAACCTGTTTCTTGTTTTCTGAAGTCTTTTAAGCAACCCTCTTTTTTGTGCGTAATGCGGTTACAGTAAACTACATTTTTATGTTCGCCACATCTTGGCGAGAAGAAGCTGATGTAGAATGCATGAGCAAAGCCGAGTTGTTACCATTCATGGAGAATAATTGCTAACCATGCGTCAATCCCTTGGTATTAACAGTCAGTGCAAAATGTAATGAATATACTGCTTACAGATGCACCAGATGAGAAGTATTATGCAAATTCACGATTGAGACTCCAGCGGAATCAGAATGTCATTACAAAATGGAAGCAGAATCTGGGAAAAAAAAACAAATAAGATGTTTCCAACAAATGTTTCTTTAATAACCCTGAATGATCAGCTAAGATTGGAGAATTGAATCATACAGTGTACTGCAGGTTGATGCGTCCAGAAACTCGGGTTACCTTTTAATGTGGACCGTGTAATGTAGCAGCTTTCAGAAATGAGATCAAGACAAGAAACCAATCACCGCACTGCGCAGTTTTGGAGTTCCAAACAAGTTTATTTTGTTTGTTTATACGCACACACGGACTAATGCTTACTCAGTTTCTAATTCATGCTGTACATGTAATACCTTTGTCTAGTGTAAGCCGTGGCCAATTCTCATTGAAATGTTGAGCTGCAGTCGTTGCTTAGTATTTCAATGTATGTGCTTAGCATAAAGATGGGAACCGGTGTAACACATGCATTATACATGGCATGCAATTTTAGCTGGTAATCTGTTTTTTTTTCAGCAAATAACGTCTGTGCTAAGCAGCTGTATAAAATCGGACCCAGCTGCTTTCCCTGGGAGCCTTTTGGCGACTATTTGCATGCATTTCCCAATGTACATGTATGCTGCCGTATGCCAAGAGTGTTCCTATCAGAAGGCAAATTTCTTTGACTTGATCTTGTTTACGGATGCTCAAATCTGTTGCAAAATAACATGCATTAACTGGTCTCTCTCACGTAAGAGTTTTTTTTTTAACGTCATAATTGGCACGTCTCAAAAACCCTCCAAAAACAGTGGAGCATTTAAAATTTTGGACCATGTCTTGCTACTGTGACTGCTCAAGGGATGATAAAAATGCTGTTAACACTTCATATCCACTCTTGCCGTTCTGACCCCCCCCACCCTGCCTGCCTGTAACACCCTTAACAGATGATTCAAGCGCATGGGTCGATACGACCGAAGGTAGGTTGCTTGTTTCTGTTGCTTAACTTATGGTCCATGGGAATACGACACCAACTCATGCAATCAGTATTGAATTACGGAATTCATGAATGACATTTTGGGATGAAACTCTTAGCCGTTCATGTATTAATTCATTGATTCCACTGATTCGTGTTTTTGTGTGTGCTGTGTTTTTGATCCTGTGAACTCATTAAAAAGAAGGGCGATTTGAAAGAACACCCGACTTCCTCGTTTGGTGCAATTCCAAGATGTGCCTGTCTTCAGTGAAGTATTCTGGAGATTGGCACATCTTTGAAGAGTGGCAAAATTGATCAGATTGGAAAACATCACGTCTGGATGTAGAAACCAGGCTACTTGGGGAAGTACTATCTCCAGTCACTAGCCATTGACTTTGCTGGATGCGGCTGGAATTAACACACACATCCATGAAAGAGCCAACTAGTGGCTTCATGCATTTCTCATATAGGAGTGTTTGTTATCGCTAGCCGCAACCACGTAATTTAGACATCACCACTGTCACCACTGTTTGCTGTACTGTTGAATTATGGTCCAGGGGCTCCATGCTCAGTGCCGCCGTCTATCTGTTGGTGAAAATTCCACATAAGTTCTAGAGGGAGGGCACTGACCATTTTGTATTGTGTCATCGCTGTTCACGTAATTGGACAGTTACAGCCCATGCATCAGAGGGAGAATGTGCAAGCAGCTACCCAATGAGTTTGCATAGAGTTTGCACAGTTTTGGGAGAGCATTACTCCTCTAAAATCATCCAAATGGTGCCTCACGTGGTGGTGGTCACGTATATGTACAGTAACTGGTACCCTGACAAAATAGACAGGTGCCGTAGATAGATCTTTCTTTGGTTGCATTCCTATCTTGGGAGACATACATGTGTGCTCTCCACTGTTGCAAGTTATGGAATGAACTCTCCAAGTTTGCACAGATTGCAGGGTGTCCTCACTTGCCTTTTGTGAGGCGAATAGCGCCCTCGGAGGTCCTTGCATGGAGCCTGTACAATTCATGTCCCTTTTACATCGTGAACCGTTTCACTCATTTCCATTTGGTGTGTTGTTTGTCTTGTTTTTTCTTCTTCAAATCACCCACCCCACAACCTCACCGTGTGACAGGCTAACCCCGAAGCGATGAAACTGAAGTTGAAACAGGTAAAACTGGTGTTAGATGAGAAAAAATGGGGGGGGGGGCGATTTCCAATCCAGATACATTGGGAATTTTTTTTTTGATTTGGTCTTCCGATTTTAAAGATGAAAGGGGTTAAAAACTAGAACCAAGGCTATGTGGTATTCATTTTGCAGACTTTTGAAAAAGAGAACATTAAGATGTCTGTTTCATCCTCCTTGGTTATTTAGAAGAAGTGCCCGCACTTGTTTTGGCTTCGGATGGTGGCCATTTTTAATCTGATGATTGCCACTTTGTGGGTTTGTGAGTATGACGTTGGCTGCGTTGACAGTGATTTTCATGTTTGGATCTAATGTAGGGTAGAGACTTTGCCAACAAGCATTACAGCGGCCTCAAGATGAAACTCATCAAGGGAAAGGTGAGATTTAAAAAAGTTCTTTAAATTCACATGAACATAACAATTTGATTCTCCATACTAAAGACACTGTTGCTATACCTTGTGATTCGGGGCAAGCTTTTGCTTAGTTACATAAGAGACGCCTTGCCTCAATCGCTGTTTTCAATGGATAAGAATGGCACAAAGGAACCAGTCCATTCCAGAGATGGTGGTCCTTATGTAAAAGCCTGCCCCGAATCACAAGGTACAGCAACAGCGTCCATAGTCTGGCGGATTCATATTGTTATGTTTATGTGGCTTCAGATAACTGGGTGGACCAGATTTTATTCAAATTTAACTTGCAAAAGGCTTATTGGTAGGATTCAAGACCCTCTTACCAAAAAAACTGAGAAAAGTTGTCGTTGATTAAACTGAAGCCACGCGCCTTAATTGCACAGGAAACTGAAGACCTGGGCATGACTCGCAGGTACAATCACCGGCAGGCGTCGTTTTTGGACATCTCCCTCCCACTCCCGGCCTCCAGCGCCCCCTCCTCGCCCTCTGGTAGCCCCCAGAACAGCCCCGTCCCCATCAGAGCAGCCTTGGATGTCAGGCGGGTGAGTTTAGTATCAACCCTTTCACTGTTTGTCTGAACAAAAAATCATGCGCTTAGTTCATTTACAGATAGGGTTTTTTCTGAGTCTTGAGTTTGTTTCTGTTTGAGGCTTCATGTCCAAACTGGCTTGTTTGACTGTTGTCCAACAAAATACAAATGGGTAATTCCAGAAATTAAGGGTCCATTTTCCGTGTCCCTCTCACATCTGACATGATTTTGTAAGTTCAGAACACATTCTCTAATTTCCAAGAAAGAGGAGTTAATGCAAAATACCTGCCAAATAAATAGTCATTACTTTGAAATCAATTCTGGTATCATTTCCACGTCAAATAACAAAGGTCAGATGTAACAGGGACACATGAATGTCACACTTTTGGGCCCTGGATATACCCAAATACATTTGTACTTCCATCTAGACAGTGTCGTGCCTCTTAAGTAAAGCTTGATTTAAATTGTTGAGCTAAGTTTTTTGAGATCTTTATTTTTTTGGCGTCCTTGTTGTCAGTCAGTAGTTTGCAGTTATTGTACTTAAAATTCATGAAGTCTCAACTTTTACAAACTTTCTTTCATTCTTTTTCCACATAACTAAGAGAAGTGGAACGCACCCCTCAGTCAGCGGTTGAGTTGCCACACATTGACACGTTATTAGTTTTCATAAATTGATCTGCTTTCAACCCCCCTCCCCACATTAAAAAGAACCCAGCCAGAAATACCGCAAAAGCAGAACATTGGCTCTTTTTTGGTAGACAAATCAGGATTGTAGCTGAGTCCGTCACAAATCCTGTCAAAAGTTTAATCGTGAGTCCCAGTCACAAATCCTATCATAAGACCGGTCACAAGTTCTTTCATCAGACAAATCGTAAGTCCTTTTTAGAAAATCAGGCAACAAACCCTTTCCCAAGATGAGTCACAAGTCCTTCCTCAAGACTAGTCACAAGTCTTTTCATAAGACTGGTCACAAGTCTTTTCATAAGACTGGTCACAAGTTTTCAAAATTGACCAGTCACAAGTCCTTTCACAAGACCAGTCGCAAGTCCTTTCACGAGATAAGTTGCAAGTCTTTTCATAAGACTGGTCACAAGTTTTCAAAATTGACCAGCCACAAATCCAGTCACAAGTCCTTTCATAAATCCAAAAGGCCAGACATAGATCCACTTAGAAAATCAGTCGTGAGCTCCGTCGAAGGTCCCACTGGATGACCAATCACAGGAGTGCTTTTGTCACAGTTCATTTGAATAGCCTCTGACTTGACTTGGATGACTTGTAACTTGTGATGGACTTGTTATACGGATTGGCAGAAACTTGCAATGGTACTCAGCCTTAGCACAGGTCACATTCTGCTTGTCCGCTCTTGCCACAAATGATGAATATTGATGGTCAAGTATTTTCTGAGTCCCTGGCCATCTTTCCTTTCCACCCACCTCTGCTGAAATCTCCTGAGGAAGGTATCAAATCTTCCATCCTTCTTAGTCCAAGTCTCGTTAAAATTTTAAAGTAAGATGATTTTATGTAAAGTTTTTTTTTTTCTTTTTTATACGGAGACTGCATAGCCAGGGGTAATATTGCCACTATCTGCGATAAGCATTTCGTTCATTGCTGAGGTTATCTTGATTGGCTGGAGGAGCACGGATAAAAAGCTTTATTTGCTCTGAATTTGGAGCCCGGGGTAGCATTACATCCTCGGCTTTGCCAGATTGCAAATTTTTTTAATCATTGCCCTGGGGGATTTCTTTTTCCAAAGAGAAATAAAGTCCGTCATTTTAATAGAGGAAGCTTCCATGAGGCGTGAAGACTATAGTCTCCTCTCAAGACTGGCAACCAAACCATTTTTCTATAGGAAAGTACAAGGTAAACACCTATAAGGTATACACCTATAAGGTATACTCCAGACAGTCGTGTAATAAAAAACATGCTTTTCTCCAAATTTGCCTTGTGCCTAGACTTCATACGTGCAATTCATGGATACATCTCGGTACAACCAACTGATACCGTGCACGATATGGGGGCCGATGGGTATCCCCCTACATGTCCAGTCCCTATACACACTCTAGACTATTGTTACCTAACACATCCTCCCTAGAAGTCTGTAAGGAGTTCCTGAGATTCCGACCAATCAATGACCAACACAAAGGCGGGGGGGGATTCTCTCCGCCCCATATCTTGCATCATATGGACCAACTGGCTAGCCACGGGCTTGCTTTTTGTAAATGTGACCGATGCGTGCAAACGATTACATTAATAGAAACTTCGATGTTTTGCCATTGTCTTTAATTTAACCCCTTCACGCCGGGATTCTTTTGACGGTGACTGCTGGGTTGCGGTATGCCCAGTATGCAAAACCGTGTCCTGCAGCAGGCCCACATTGAACCAGCAGGTGCATGATTAATAGACCGTATGTGTGGTGTGCACTAATCCTCACACAAAGCTGTGGCTGTGGACGTGGACGGTTCCCATGTTAGAATTTATGGTATGGTAACAAGAAACACCTTTGCCTGTCTCCACTCATCCTTAAATCTGAACACAAAGACAAAGGGATGCATTTCCGCTTTAATAGTTCCAAGTGTTAAAAAGTTTAATACCTCACAGAAAAAGAAAACGATGCAATAATGATTGACAGAGACTATGCCCACGATGTGCACATTCAATTTGAAAAAGACTTTCCATTGACTCATGTACATTCTGTAGATGATTGAGCATACAGGCCTCAACATTGGAAAGCCTGAGTGTGCATGTAATGCAAGAAGTGGGCGTTTTTGAGTGCTGTCCATTGGACAAAATAGGAAACCATTTCTTATTTCTGCTGAGCATTGCCTGAATAAAGACTGCATAATACCTTCAAGGATGTCCGTGTTGCTGTGAGTTCAGATATTTCGTGTGGTTGACAATTAGTATACAAATAAATAATGATACACATTCCCGCAATGGTAGAAATAGTTTGGCTGGTTCATGGATTTTAATCTTCAGTTTCTTAAGTAGTACAATTTGTTTTCTAGATATTTGGCATTTTATAATATTTGATGGGCTTAACCAATTTATTGTAATGGCTGGGCACCTCTGGAAATCAGTGTTTCACTGAGAGGTTTCCCAAAGATAAATAAGTGAATAATGTTAATAATAATAAATTTCATGAGGTGACAGATGAAATATTCCATTCCACAATGCAAAGCATATATCCTCCTCTGTTAAGAGAACAAATGGTGTTCGCGTATTTACATCTGCCGTTTTGCGAAACCAATTTGTGGCTGAAGCGCAACCCATCGGAAGTACTGTGCAGTGTTAGTGTTAGACTGGTGCCCATTCCTACATTATTTTCCTCTCTTCTTACCAAGAATGAAGTATGTGAATATGAAATAGGGGCGTGAACCAGTCAAGAGAAGTTCTATTCAACGAGTACTATTGAATAGAATGAATAACGATCCACCAATCGGATGACTGGGATTTATACAGGTATTTTATAAAATGATCTTTTTACCGCACACAGTGGATGAGAGCATTAGGATTTGCAATGCGGCTGCAATCCATTTGAATCACTGTGAGCATGGGCATGAATTATTTCAGTGACAGGTGATGGATGACCCACCAATCGCATGACAGGGATGTTATAAATACAAAAAAAAACACCGGGTCTCACTCCAAATAGTTGCCGAGCGTGGAAATGATTGAGAATTACTTGAGGCCAGTGTAAATTTACTTTACAATGTGGATCTTCGAACTTGTTCAAACATGCAACGAAACCCACCCGAGAGGGCTAGCGTACATACATCAGAAGCATATTTTATGAGTATTAGGCAGCAAATATTAAGTGGATTATGTGTAATTCATCTTGCCAGTCGTTCTCCCTTTGGGAGAAGACCTGAAAACCACATAATGCCAAACTCAACTAATACGGACTCTGTTTTTTTTGCATTTATGCATGAAATTTGTGGTTTGTTATTTTTTGTGTATTTTCAACAAGTTGAAGGCCTCTTCTTTTCTCAATATCAAAAACGGGAAGGGGCCTTTAACTCGTTCAAAGTACCTGAAAAAAAAACATGTAAGCACAAATTGCATGAATAAATGAAAAAAAAACCCGAGTTCACTTTTAGTTCATATTGACAATATTTGCTGTTTAAATAAGATGTTGATGACTAGCCAGTAATATAAAACAGTCTTGTAAGAAACCCCGGGCATGTATGTACTACTGTGGGCCACCACTGGAGTCATAAATCACAGCCTTCAGTGTGCACCTTGCGCATACAGGTGTCACGGCAACACTTCTGGCTTCTTTTTAATCTAGCAGCAATCAGCGCACAAAACTCCATTCATCCAAATACCCGACAGGGGAAAAACAAAACACACACACAAAAACCCAATCCTTCCTTTAAGATTGCTTTCCAACCTGAAGTTTGTTTGAAATTCTCCACATATTGCCGAGCTGTCTCCAGGCCATAAATTTCTGCCAGAGTTGTGAGAGCAACCAGGGTAGCGTTTACACGTGTCCATGTCCATGTGTGTTCAGTGCTTATTATGAACTACCGTACTCAACATTTATGCAGCTTGTGCCGTCTGAAACCACCAGTACTGGTACAAGCAAATTCAGAAATTTGTTTGTACAAGTGTACAAACCAGATCAATGCCTTATAGAATATACAAAGGGTCACCAACATCCTTTTTCCTTTCAAAGAAATGACTTGTTTGGTACCAAGGGCATTTTGGGGCGACGGTCAAGTTGTCCATTGATTTTTTCCTGTGTAGCAACAAGGTTTAGTTGTATGTGTATTTTTTTTTTTGCTGAAGCGGGCATCCATTTCATCCCACATTGAGTAAATTTCAAAAATGGTCACCAGAGGGCACCCTTGGACCACTCAATCCAGAGTTACATGTATATTTGTGACCCACTCTGTGAAAATGGGTCTTAAGTCGCCAGAGCCACTTTGGAGTAAAAAGTACTTTAGAATAATTTTGCACAGTGTAAGTCAATAGGAACCCCACAGCATGTTTTTTCAGCATGGAATATCCACTTTCATCAGGATGCCAAAGTGAGTGATATGTCAAAACAAAAAACTCAATTTGCTCTTTCCAACACAAATGGGAACTTATAAAGTTGCTCTGGTGACTTAAGACTCATTTTCACAGACTCAGTCACATAGAGAGAGAGTAGCGCTAACTGCAGACTTTGGACCAAAATGGCCGTTTATTATGTGTGCTGTCATGGCAGTACAAGCACGCAACTATTGTGTGTTAATTGTCCATGAGTGCCGACACATCGTCTACCAGCTCTGACTCCGTCTGACTTGGCGCACCGACCAATCCGCAATCACTAGAGTGCCAATTTAATGTGAAGGGGAGGGTTACTGGCCCAGTGACTCAAGCAGTCTGGTTTACCTTGGATTTGTACTTTGATTATACCTGCAGAAAACGGACACCAACCGTAAGATCTCGGAGGAGAATGCCCGGCCGATGACAATGGCTGGCCTGCCCAGACGGCTCTCATCAGACAGCAGGTGCAGGAACCCTCTTCATCTAATTCAGAACCAGTTTAGCCAGAAACACTCTCCGAGATGAGGCTCAGATCTTCCCACACACCCATATTAAAATGATGAACTACGGCCCAACTCCAACCTCACGGCCTTTGCTCTGTGCCTTAAACTGTTACATAAAACAAAGGTTTTATGCAAGAGCCTGCTTTGAAATGTTTTTCACATATGGGCGCCCTTATTAAATTCTATGGTTCTCATTTCTTTTTCCACTTGAGGTAAGGTTGCTTGGTCAAAAAAAAATCCTTTAAAAAAAAATTCTTAAAAAAAAAAAATTCTGTGTTGCTGGTTTAGGGCTATGCACGACCTCAGTGGGCCACGGAAAGGTGCGGCATAACGAATGTTCACGCGAACGCTGATCGTTGCTGTTGGTCGTTTGCGAAATTGTAAGTTTTCAGGGCTTTTGTTTTCAAAGGTCCTGCTGGCCAGTTGTTTCCCTTCAGTATTTTTGGGGGGTTTAGGTCTTTTTAGCAGGGTCAGTGGGGAAAAAAAAGCCCAATTTGGGCGGGAGCCCAAAATAGGGTCGGTCGGAAATGAGAACCGTAAAATATAAAAAGGGTGCCCTATTGAATAATACAGTATTTGGTGTAAACTTTTGTAACTTGAAAATATAGGCTGAACCATCGTAGTGCACTTACATGTGAATGACAGGCTTTTGATGATTAATTTTGCAATCAACTTTTCCAAACTGGGCCTGAATTGTTTGCCAAACCAAAGGAGCCAACGTCTTTGAGCAATTGTTACTGTTGTTTTAGTTGCATATGCATATCCCAAGACAGTTGATTTGGGACAGGGCAAGTGTCACAGGTGTGTAAATTGATCTTGAAGTGATGTTGATTGACGGGAGGCTTGGAACGCTCTCCAAGCATAAAATAGTCTGTTACCATCCCATTCAACAGTTTACACTTCATGACATTGATTCAGAGAACCTGACTGAAAAGGGCTTCCTTGTGAATAAGGTCTATAATGTTCAGCCTAGCCTTTCTCTTTGCCACCAGTGGGGGCGCCCTTACGCACTGAGCCCATTATCCCTGCAATATAGCTAGACTGTTGAGATCATCCAATCTTCTTCTTCCCAGCCTGCCACCCAGTTTACCCCCCAAGACCAAATCGTACCGTCTGCCCAGTGTGGAGGGCAGGAACTCCTTGGAGGCCAGTGGCTTAGAGGGTCCCTCCAGCATGAGCCTTATGGACGATGCCCAGGTACAGGAAGTCCTGCAGAAGATCGGCAGTCGAGGGACCCTGGCGGACTCCGCCCCCAAAACCACGGTAGGCTTGCCTCTACGTCTCCTCTCTCATTCCTCCCACACACAACTGGAAGCTGGAACAAGCTGAGAAACCAGAACAGAACTCTGATACCACCAGCAGGTCCTGTTTTCAAAGATCAGTTAAGCAGAAAAATCATGCTCATTTTTGCCCTAAGCTCCAATCAACAGGAAACCAGTCTCAGTAAAAGTAGATTGCATGTCAGTTTGGCCAATAACCTTTTTTTTTCCTGAAAGCAATTATTTTCTACAGTTAGCAGATTTGAGTATCTAGGAACTCGGTGAAATTTGGCCATCGTTTTGTAACCTTCAACCATATGTAAGCAAGCTTTGTAATTATTCAATGTCTTTGCTGAGTGGATGACTTGTCAGGAGTTGTCCGGATAACTTAACCGGATTATGAAGGTCTCCTTTTTCAAAATAAGTTATGTGGCTGATTTTGTCTTAGACAAAAAACAAATAAACTTACCGATATCCTTTTTTCTAAAAATACGACTAAAGGTTTATTTACCAAGGGCAAATAAGGAGAACTACTTTGGTCATGAACCAAAAGATATAAATGATAGATAAATGCAACATCACCGTAGTTCACCTCTTAGCTGTACACTGCTGCTAAACCGGGTTCGCTATGGCGACGAAGCAATACTCAGGAATAAGAAAAAATTAGTCACCAATTGCTTGTAGGCCGATCTTGCCACCAGTGAAGCTAACGTGGGAGTGGGAGCTGTTGTGTTGAGTCAGTGGTTTTCATCAAGAAAGGACGCGCTTGGCTACTCGCATAAGAACAGCTGCTGTTGATAATAGAATAAATTCCAAGCTACCTCACATTTTTAGTTTATCTTGGGTCTTGGACAGATCGCATCTTATGATGCTTAATGAAACTGCATTGATGAAATCAAAACAAAAATATCCAGAATTTGTGCTTCCTCGATGCAAGAATAGCTCAGCGTGACCGATGCTGGAACTGTGCCAAACTACGGTACATGAACATTGATGCAGTTTGACACCTGTCTTTTCTGTCTTGTATTACTTGATTGTTGCGACATTTATGTCAAGATTTATATTTAGAGGACTCAATATTAGGGAAATGGTCCAATTTCTAGTGCATAGCTCAATCTCCAGAGGGAGTCAGATTTCGTAAAGAGCTTCTGCCAGCTCTGGATTTGCTCAAAGCAAGTAATACTAGACGTTGATGCTGATGACTATTGCAACACATTCAAGATCTTGCCTATAATGAGCCAGCACAACCCTCCAGCTGCCGAAAAATGTGACACGGCGGAACATTTGATCTGGGCCTGATTTGGTGAGGTTTTTTATCCAGGCATCCGTGTCATTTACCTGATGGTTTCAGCGCTCGGGCTCATGAGCAGTGAAGGATGCTGTTTCATTTCCCTGTGGATTTTGTGGTGGGAAACCAACCAATCCCCCCCAGAGTAATAAAAAAAAAAGAAAGAAAAAGGTTTTATTCCCACATATGATCCAAAATGTCATGTCGCATCGTGGACCTTGTTGAAAAGTAGAGCACATGCTTTGATAGAGGTGTTTTCAGCATGTAAGTGAGCGGTCGACTGCGTACCTACCGTCTCACACAATCAGATTACGCAGGATGGAGATCTCGCCGGTGCGAGTTTGTGAATGATTCATCGAAGAAGAAGAGGGGAAAAAAAATGACATTTCAGTGCCAGCGAGCAGGTGGAGAAGAGACAAGAGCTGTATGAGTGAGATTACCCAGGGATCACATTTAGCCCCTGCGGGGCAGGCGTGCATTTCATTCCGCACTGACCTGGCCTGAATTTCTTCTTGGAAATGTTATTTGAGATGAAAGTCCTACATTCGACCTGTCCAACAGTCAGAGCAGTGTCATGGCATGGGTGGGGGGGGGGATTACACGAAGTACTGCAATGCTTAACTGCAGTCTAATATTTAGCAAACTGTGCAATTTAATGAATACTCAGTGCACGGCTTCAAACCTGCCATCAGGGTTTGTAGCCGTCATTAAATTCCTTAAAAATCTTTCAATTGTATTGTGGGCATGAAATTCCTGGAAAAGTCATTAAATATTTGTAGGAAAGTGAATTTTCATCTTGTGTTGTATAATTGTGTTGCATTTTTCAAGACATGCTTCAATCTTTTGCGTTAAGCGCCACGGACAGTTGTTACTGTTATGACAAACCAGCGATGTCACGTCAAAGGCCTCATCACTCATCGTAGTATTTTACATTTACACGTATGGAAGTCATGTAAAAAGTCTTTGACATCGGACCGTAAAAGTCATTAAAAGTCTTTGAATTTTTTGGAGTCTTGACACTATCAACCCTGTTCCATATGTTTTTGTTTCCTCCTCACAATTTTCCATTCTCATTTGTACTGCTGGATTTTCTTGCTTCAAAGAAAATGGGAGAATATGTACAGTAGCAGTGATTGCCTTCAAATCTCTGCACTATCCGGCAATTTCTCGAGGATATCTCCAGGCAGTATTTGCTCTCTATTCCCTTTTAACAAAGAAGAAAATTAGAAGTTTGTCCTCATTTCTGCAGCCTTGGTCACATATTTGTACCTTGGCCATGTCAGTCTCCGGTTGTTGCCTTGTTTGGCAAATTCTGGAGGGAAAAAGAAAGAACCAACTCACGTGTTTGTTGTTTCACAACTGATTGGTTTCCCGCTGCATTTGCAATGATGCATGGACGTAAGGGCCACTTGTTTGTAGGAATTATTTAGAGATTGATAGCAAGTGAGGCATTGGCATTTGTTGATTGTTGGATTCCATTTACTTCCTTTGTATATGCTCATTAGTTGGCAAGTTTGATCAAGGATCACTAGTTAACTAGCAGTTGGTTCATGATGTATGTAATGCATGTGCAGTGGAGTTGAAGTGCAAAGGACCCTAGTCAACCGTTGTCAGGTCACTAGATGGAGGGGAGAAAAGATGGCCGCTGGAAGGGCACAGTAGCAAAACCTGCAGTGAAAATGGCCCTTTACTAGTGGCATGCTGTTTTTCTGGCATTTTTCTTGTAACTGGTCCTCTCTGCACTGTGCTATTAAAAATGGTTTATGGCAACCAACGACGCGACCAGCCTCGATAGACTGGTCGCAAATAGTTGTCTAGACTAGTCCAACCATCGTCGACGAGCGTGCGTTTGATCAGAGTCAGTCAAACTATTATGGTTCACCGCGGTCCCTGGTGGAACTTGCCCGGGGATTTTATCGCACGACTTACCGCATTACTTCCAGAAGTTAGGTTGGATCTTAAAGTGCTCTTAGCATTTGGAAGGTTTGAAGGATCCATGGAATAAATTGGACTTGACTCGCTCTTTGTGCATCGTGACGTTCTTCTTTAATGTATGAAACCTGCTGGAAATGCTTTCTGAGTTGCTGATTGGTGTGAACAAAAATGCACCTTGTAGTCATCAAGAATTGTCCAAATTTTTCTGGCCAAGTGAGGTTGCTGTTGATGTACCCGTGGAAAAAAAAAATCCGGGAAGAAACTGCATTTTACATGTTTCCATGTTGGAATTTTGAACCTTACATTTGTTTTTTGAATACATTTCTGCGGAAATGGTGCTTGCTTTCTACATGTGATATACTTGAACATGAATAAATTCCCAAAGGAGGCCCATTTTGTTAGGGACCCTCCGCAATCCTTCGGAATCCTCCAATTTTGGGGGGTGAAAAAATTGGATTCTCCCTCAATCCTCCGAAATCTTCCAAAGTGCCTACTGCCTCAATCCCTCAAAGTCCTCCGGCAATTCCTGTCATTATGTTGAGGCAGTGCGAATGGCATTCTTGAGCAGTGCCGTTGATTCAAAAGAAATATCGGGCTGAATTAATGCATGACTCCGCAAAAACAACCCACGATTTTCATGTATGGCATCCTTCTCAATAAGCCATGCACATTTGCCATTCACCCACAATCCTCCAAAACTGCCCGAAGGATTTTGGAGGATTGAGGACAGTTAGGGTTAAACAAGCAAAATGTAAAATGTACCAGAACTTTTTATATGCACAAATCAGGGCAACCGTTGATCTTTTCATTGATAAATTCATAATTAGCCAGGGAGAGGCACGCATAGGATTTTCTGGAGAAAAAACTGAACAGAGCCAGAAAACCTGAGAGAAAACGATCAAAATTGCACTCCTGTACATTTTCAGTGGCCCACTCGCACTTCTTGCCACCAAGGCCATTTATGCACATGCGTGCATGAGTAATTATGATTTTTTTAGTGAAAAGGTCTTTAGTGTCTGGGATAACGTAACAATTTTGCTAATGATAGAAATTGTATCATTATAAAACCAAAAAAGGCTCCAAATTACAGATAAAATTAGCCAAAAAAATAGATATGTATTAGGCTAGTTGAATCACACTGGTGCAATTTCAAAGATTTTTTAGTAAATTAATTGTACTCCGTGTCTCTTAAATTCTGCACCTGTTTCTTTGATTGTTGGTTTAGACATCAGCCACAGATGATGCACCCATTCCAATGCCCCGGCGGAGGAGGGCCAACCGTGAGACTCCAGGGTCAAAGGTCATCGGCCGTGACATCCAGCGTCCTCTCATTCCGCCGCCCCCTGTACCCCCCAGACGGGAGCGGCGAACAGCGCAGACGGTGGAGGAGAGACTAGTGGATATTTCCAATGAGGAGGAAGAGCAGGGGCTGGACCTGTCGCAGGCCCACGGGACTGCTGTTCAACATGCGTTGGGTGTGGACTGTGAGGACCACACCCTGACCTTTCAGTCGGTCCACGTAAACAATAACGCCCTGGCTGGGTACCAGCCGGAGGGTGTGCCCCGGAACAGTTCGGCCCAGACCCTTCTGGCTGATTACGGACTTAACTTTGGTGCGTCAGTGGCCCCTGGCTCCACTGCTGACCCAACGCTGTCGTCACCCACTCATTGTCTGAGCGTACCCGGCCTGCGGGCCACCAGCAGCAGTCCCAACCTCCAGAGCCTCCATCGGAGCGGCAGCCCGCCCCAGATTCTGGTCCAGCAAGTCCTTGTCCAGCAGCCCCCAGCCAGCACGCTGCCGGACCTCCTCAGTCCGACCAATACCATGCCCAGACAGAGCGAGAGCCTGGTCTCAGTGTCAGCGGCCCAGCCAGTGACCTCTGCTACGAAAACGCCGCCCCTCAACCCTTTCCAGATTCAGCACACTCCCCTGCAGCCCATGGCAGCCTCCGGGAACCCATTCCAGCAACCCAGTGCTTCCGACCCCAAGGACCCATTCGCCGACCTTGTCTCATTCCAACGTCAAGAGGGTAAGTCTTGAGTGTTTTTGTTCTTCCTTCCTCAGAAGTGATAGCATTAGGGGCTGTGTTTAGAACAAATGAAACCCTTCAAATTCAATGACCAACATAATAGTAATAATAGCTGGGCTCTACCCTCTGTAATCCTACAAAATCCTTTAAAAAACTTCTGGGTGGATTATAGAAAGGGGTAGGGCCGATGACAAGAATTGAAGGTTGATTCACTGTCCACAGGCATTTCATTCGAAATTGAGTGCTTTGACGTCTTCTGTGAATTCGGACTTGTCCAGGGAATGTACCAGCAAAGTTGATTGCAGAGATAAATGCAGCGGACATGGCTTAACTCGTTGCACGCACGCACAAACTGCCGATTGTGTACAGGCTCTTGCCTACATATCACTGCAGAATTCCCCTCGGAGAAAGATGGCAGAATTGTTGTTCAGCACCAAATAACTTCGGGGCGTTCCTGTTGAGTGATCGATGAGAGTGATCTCAGTGATCGCCTCTTTAATAGTCAGTGAGTGGGTGGATTTTTGATAATGTACTTGAGTCGATTTCTGGCGTTGTTGACCATTGGTGCTGTTAACTTTGGCAAGATTTCGTGGCTTAATATTTGAGAAGTGCTCCTTCTCATCCATTTTTCATTCATGTATGTATTAGAGTGGCTTCTTTATGGAGCAGAAACTTGAATATCTTAAAGTACATGTAGGGCTGTCAGCAATATGTGGTTTGTTGAAGAACCTTTCACAAGTAGAGACCAATTACCGAGTGGATATTTAGGGTACAAAACAGTTCCTGGCCCAGTTTGAATTAGGTTTATTTTGTCTTGGGTTAACAAGATGTTATGCCTAGACTCGTTCAGAACAAGAAGGGCAATACATGTCATTCAGGCAGTAAATTGTTTTATCATTTTTTTTCCCCTTCCCCCGTCAGTTGCAAATCCGTCATGGAAGAAATAACCGATGCCGCGTCGTCGGCAGCACCACCCCAGCTGCAGCTCTCCTTTCATCAGGTACATGTGTTTTTTTTCCCTTTTTTTCTGTCCGTCTCCTTTGCAGCCTGTGGCATTGTTCTTCAGTGCACATGTATTTGAGGGTGATCTGTTGTTTTCAGCGTCCTCCCTTCCAGTATTGAATGTAATTATGTACAAATGTGGGCAAAGAAAGGTAACCGATACAATGGAAGGAGTAACAGTTCCGATGAAATGCAGGGCAGGCATTGTCATGGGCATATAGAATGGGAGGGGGAAGTCGCTCTTTTGATGTATCTTTTAAAAACATGGTTTACACTGTTCACTACCCGGTGTGTAGATATTGAAGATTTTATTTTTCCAATTTGTAATTTGAAAATTACACAATTGTTACGGAGCCAGCGCAGTGCTCCCTAGAAATCCGGCCTCTTAGTTGCAACGGAATGCAACACTGAAATAGTTTCAGCAACGAGCTTTCAGGAAACCATTTTTACTTCTTCCAAATTGTTGCCAAGTATCTCCAAGCTCACTCCGAGACAATTACCCTTGCTGCTGTTTGCGCATGTGTACATGTATGTCGTCTGCTGGACCATCTACCTGTTTCTAACAATGGAGCTACATAATGTACACTTTGTAGTATATCATACTTCACTCCCTTTGGGGTATAATATTATGTATTTATATTGCTCCCCATTTATTGAAGTACGTGTACATGCCTCAAATGAGGTATATTTGTCATGAGGTAACTTCTTAGACGGATACGGTAGTATTCGAAATGGGGAGCTTTTGTACCCCTCAAAGTGGATGTACCGATTAAATACTCAGATTGGAATATTTTGTAACGTGTAAAGATTGCATAATATTCAATGGCTGAATTTCTTAACAAAATTTACTCACCTCAGTTGGGCATTTCTGAACAAAGATTGTTTGATATTCACTCGAGGAAGAGAAAGAAACTGCTTGACCATTCTTGGATGACATAAATTTACCATTTTTTTCTGTTTGAGGTTGAGCGCATTAAGTGCATTGTAGATCAATATCTGACTTGATAAGTAGACGTTTTTACGACATTCATATTTTGGGTTCAGCTTTATTCATTTCCTTCCATTCCCGTCTGTAATATTCCATGCATCTGAATTGCTGCAAATCCTCTCAACAACCATTCCTAATCCAATCAAATCCAAGCATTTTGCACAACGTATAATCATACTCTCTCTGTCTAGTTCCCAGGACTGCACTTTCATGTACGCAGACCGGCCCGCACAAAATTGCAGATTTTCAGCCCCTGTCCATACGCGCCATTTACCTCGAAGTTCATTATTATTCAGGTAGCCCCAAGGGTACACTTCCTAAATTGATACTTTGTTAACAGTTTTGGAAGATTGCGGCTCTGCTTTTCTGTTCCTATCACAGCAATATGAGTCTGTGTCCCGTTTTTCGCTTCTGGAAACCTTGCTGTTAAATTTAAAAAGAAATTCAAAACGAGGTTCCGCAGGGAAGCAGGTTGTTTGTGCCAGTCAACTTCAACCGAGACATTTAGGTTAGAGAGTCGAATTATGAATTGTTTTGGACGTTTGTTGTCGAGGTGTGCAGAAAAAATTGCTCCACAAAGGATATAGAATATTGGTACTGATAACCAATACTGCGAAAACGTCATTTTTTTCTGAAAGTGGAGATTTACTGCTGTTTGAATGCTGCTGTTGGACGGCGGTATTTTTCCAGCACTCGAATAACACCCCCTCGAGGCTTGGGCAAACACTCCAAACGACATTTATTCGTTCAAATGGCGACATCTTCAGCTCGCGTCAAGAACCACATATGCCACCCGCATCCCTTGGTATAATAATATTTAGTCTTGTGGTATTAAGCACCGAAGCGCTCCCCACACAGTTTAATATTCGCCCTTCAATGCGCACGTCCGGAAGAGGAAATATTGGTTTGCCCCACGGCATGAAAACATCGGCATTCGCTTTAGGTTCCTGGCTTATAAATATAATCACCATCTCGGTTTCGTTTGCTTAGTGCTCTGCGTAAGATTGAACCTTGAAACAAATATGCAAAATAACGAGACGCAGTATCATCCGTTTTGAGAGTGTTATTTGCAAAAAACCAAACAACAAAACAAAAACCAAACAAAAAACGGCAACCATAGTTGCCAATGTCATGCTAAGAATGATTTATTCCGTGATTTTGTTCTCTTTTTCCCCCTTTAGGCTTATTATTTTGGTGCGGCGGAAGAGCAGCTTTAATTGGCAATACGAGCTTTGAGTCTGAAATCGTTTGTTTTCAGTTAACCGTGCAACCCTGAACACTGTCGGGCAGCTAGGTTACATTTTTTTGTGAAACGTTTGCGAGAGAAAATAATTCTTATTCGGATGGCCCTTTAAGTAAAGTAGAAGATTTTTTTCCAGTTAAGTTTGCTTTCATTCTGTCACCAACTTTGTCATATTATGTGATACGTTGAAATTCATTATGATAATGACAATTGCGCCAGTAGTTGGCTGTGTGGCTTCTCGTCTTACTTTCCTTCCACGAACGAAACCAACCAAGAACGAAAGCCTACACAAGGCACAGCCCTCAGAAGCAGTCGTGCAAACTAGCAATGAGTCTCTCTATTCCAAGAAAAGAAGGGAAGAAGTGAGCACGTGTGGTTTTGTTTTGTTCTGTCGGTTTTACAAATTCATTCCGTTGTGGGAATATCTCCATGGAAGTTGATCTTTGGAGAGCAGGAGATCACGGGAGAATAGATAGAGCTGAATCTAGACGAACCGCTGTAATACTGGCAAATCCTCCCCGAAGCCTGATGTTCTGCGGCATGACAGATTTCCCTCAGAGCGAAAGGGAGAGAAGAAAAGAATTAAACATGCGAGTGACCGTATGGGATAAAGACACCACTGAAAGAATTTGGCAAATATGTTTTGGATTGCTGTGCCGGCATTCTGTGGAGGCCGTTTAAGCTTCTCCCCCCAAGCCGCCGTACTGCACCGTGTGTGCGATCGAAAAGGTTGTTTTAATCAGAATCTGTGAGGATGCTTTGTGCGCTAAGACGAGGCAAGGGCTGAAAGCTGGCGTTTGCTCTGACTATTTTTTGTCTAGGATCGTACCAGAACCATGGACGTATATAAAAAAAAAGCCTGGACTTGCAACGCCTATGTGTGAAATGGCCATTTTACCGAGCCGAATACAAATGCCCGGGTTGGCTCCCTTCTATTGGCGCCAGGGAGAACAAATGCGGGCATTGCCGGGCAAGCTTTGTATTCGGCTCGGTAAAATGGCTGCTAGTGAACAATTATCTCTATAAGCTGATTAAGGGCATTGCGGATGAAGATTTTTTATCTACGTCCGTGACCGGAACCCATAACAAGATAATTAATGGCAAAAAGTTATCTTCAAAAAGGAAAAGAAGTATTGGGATTTGCTGTGCATCGCCAGAACAGTCAGTTCGGCAGTTGTATTAGCGCTTGAGAGGTTTGCCCTATCAGCGTGCCCATACAGCTCGAATAACCTTGCCTTTTTGCGGTACTGGACTTGCTCATTGTATTTTGTTTAGAGCGGAATTCAGGTTACCAACTAAGAATGCCACACCCAATGATGTTGCTCATATAAAGTGGTTCTCTGGGAAGTTTTCGCTTTATTAGGATGCCAATGCCAAGCTGTTGATCGATGATCTGAAAGTGATAGTCGTGGTTCTCGATTTTTCCATTCTCACTCAAAATGCCTGCACCACAGAGACACATTTGAATATGGTTGTTCAATATTTGGGCACGCCTTTTGCAGAAATGAAATACTTTGATGTGTCGCCCTCGGCGTCATGTTGCGTTATTGCCGACGGCACCGGGCAGCGTATTTCTCTTGCGCACCTCAGCGGTGTTCACTGCCCCATTCTAACGGTGAGGTCGATATTTTGCACCGTTGTGCAAAAGTGGAAGCATAATGCGGACTCCTCTGGGTTCACTTGGAAATCAAAGTGACCGTCTTAAAAAGTGGTTATTAAAAAATCTGGAGTACCGGTGTAGGGTTGCATATGCTGTACTTTGAAAACGGAATGACAAACCAATTTTCATTCCTGATACAATGGGCGAAGCGTAATGGTTATTCTGGAATAGTGTAAGAAGCATGGATTTTTCAAAGAGCATGCAGGTGTTTTTTACCGGAAAGTTAATCATTTTTCCCGGCGAAATACGGAAGGTCGTGTACCAAGATCTATGTGAACATTGCAAACGTGAGCCTTGCAGGTGGCTATCGAGGTATAGTGAGTTCAAATCAGGTGGGTCCCTAAGCATTTAGGCCTGGGGGGGTTGGTCTGTCATTTTGTTGCACTCTGAGATGCTTTATTCGGAGACCCTTTTTATCGAAAACCCTAATGGAAATGCGCTGTGATGTGGGAGAGCAATGCCAGGGGACTTGAAAATGGCAATCTAGTTCTTGTTTTTATTTTATAATTTTGTATGGTTATTGATAGCTATGTTGCAGTTTTAATTGCCAGAGCTAAATATGAATTTAAGCATTTCTTGGTCAACTGTTTACATGTCGGTGTATTTGTTTGCAAAATACGCACTACACCAAAGGCGTACGCATAACTAGTTGTCATATTGCAGTACACACAAAGTTGACTACTTTACACCAAAAAGAGAAAAAAGTAGTGAAATAGAATCTGATAACTTGCCATTTATTCTCCGAGTATTGACATACTTCCAAAGTATTTACATTTTCAGTCATTTAAATTGATACGTGGAAAAAAAAGTCGTAAAATTGCAGGTCTTTATTTCGTTAACATCCCACGATGCAAGCCATTTGTTGGGTACCAAACCTGATGTAACACAACGTGGAATTAAAGTACTTCCAGCCTAAGTAGATGTCTCGGAAGTCATCAGTTCGGGGGAGGGGGGTAAACAAAGAAGGTCCCAGGAGAGGCGGGTTGGCGTAGTGCTTCTTTCCTCGCCTTCCACCTCTGCAGTCCGAGTTTGAATCCACATGTGGATTGGGTTTCAGTTCCTACCTGATTCGATTCCGTGGGTTTTATCCAGAATATTCCTCGGGGGTTTTCCTCCCACCTCCTGCTCTCTTCTCTACTCAGGTTTCTTCAGGCTTGCGAGCCACAGTGTCTAAAGCGCTGAAGGAATCCTTGGTGTCATTACCAGAAATGATTAATTATAAAAGAGAAGATTGTGTTCTACGTTTAAGTAACTTGCAAAATGCAGGTTAGGGCCTATGTAATTGAGCTTGTCTAATATGTAAAAAGGTATAGGTTAGATCTTTTATTTGTAATAAAAGTGGGTTAAAAGTGGATATGAAAATAATGATGTAAAGTCTGTATGTAAGCGGAAGGAAATATTACTGAGTAAATGTGTAGTTATGAACATGTGGTGTACAATTAACTTCGGTCTTGTGTGATTTCTGTGGTTTGTGCTTGAGCTGGGAGGTGCCTTGGGGATACTCTGTCAACCAACATTAGGACAATGCTGTAGCCACGTCTACCTTTTCTCATTCGAAGAGAAACTGTTTACTTGACAGGGGCTGACGGGGACTTTTCCCGAAACAAATTCGAAGACCGCTTGTACGCACGCGCAGACGTTGTCTTGGTAAACTCTGTCATTATCCACAGGCAGCGATGTAATGCTCACGATTCAGCCGTGTACCGATGGCTTAGTACGTGTCCTGTTCCTCCCATACTTGCTGTCTCGACTCTGACCCAGTCGTCTACCTGCGCCCACCCTCTTATTACTTTTCAGAGAGCGATATTTGGCTCCACTGCCTAATGAAAACAAGGTCCAGAAAGATGGATATTGCTTTTGTTTGGTAGATTTGGAAACCTGACTTTATACGACAGAGAGAATGTCGCGCCCAATCTCCTCATTGTAGTTTCTGTCATTAAGATTGATCTCTGCCTTGCTGTGGCGTTACTGCTTCGCCTGGAGAAGCGAATCCCTCGCAGGCGGTCTGTACATGTAGATATATTTATATATATATTTGACACGTGCCTTGCGTTGGGATCGTCGAGATGGTGTGAAAATAAGACGGATTAAAATGCAATATTCATGGCTTTTGCCAGAGTCGCAAAAAACAAGGTGGCGTACTTACCACTCGAATTAGAGCGGGGATACGCGGCGATTGATAAAACGCTTTAGCGCCTGCGGCGGCGTCGCTGGAATTACTGGCGATATTCGGGCAATCGAAATTTCGTGACGGAAACGGTTGGATTCCTGAAAGGTCCTCCCTGTGCGGAGCGTGATACGGCACAGGGTCCAAGGTTCCACTTCAATTAGGGGGAGGCCTCGGGTATGCATAACGTCAATGATTTGAAAAGTGTTGTGGTGGGGGTTGGGGTTGGGAATGATTATATTGGTAACCCCCCCCCGTCAAAATTGGGGGGCCCCTTGGATCTCCACCCATGTTTCCCCCAAGGTGCTGGCTCCCTGCTGTGGCATGCGACACGTATCAGTAGGTCGGTAACCAGCAATACAAGCAATCCTAGTATTAGCTGGCGGGCTAGCATGCGTTCGTTGTATAGTTCAACATCCTTGCTGGAGATTGTGAATCCCTTGCGTTGTCCTAATCATCTCCTTGAATTTCCCTTCAAGCTTTGGGAACAAAATTTCTCCCATTTCCTCGCGTCAAGTGCTTGGCTACCTAGTGCTTTCACCTCACAAGCGCAAATTGCGCGCCAAGATACAACATGACAAGGGATGGATGGATGGATTGTGCAAGTATAATTACCCTCACAAAGTGACTCAAGTCAAATTGTCAAGGTGTAAGATTTCTCCAGTGTGGCATTTACAGTCTGACAAGCTCATTTAAGTCCATTCTGATCTTTAGAATCCCGGTAGCAATACGCCCATAGGCGAAAAAAAATTTGCGTCTATCGCGATGTGGCGGAATCGTAAGAGTACATTTTTAGCAGCATACCGGCGATCGACCGCGTCTCGGGTTACTCTCACATTGGATTTGCGATATTTTCAAGGGGATTGGGTAAGTAGCATTGTATAAGAAAGTACATGTTCACCTTGCAGTCGTTTTTTTTTCATTGGCTGTTACCACTCGGGCAATTTCTTTTTCTTCTATTAATTGTAATTTGAGACGAAGGTTTGGGGTGGCGACGTATAAATCCATTTGATGGGCCCGAGCTCTGAAAGTGAAGTGGTGAACACAACGTTTCGGGCGGTATGCTCTTAGCATTATTCACTACGTCCTCGTACGTTTTCCCCCGAGATCAAAATGTTTCATCCTTTTCCCTAAACCAAAATAAACGAGACAAGTACACGTGAAGTTACCTGTGGTGTAATGGGGTATGGTAGTTTTTTCCCAGTTTCACGCCTCAATACGGATGACAGTAAAGTTGGTTTGATATTGGACATTACACTTTCCCATTGGTTTGTACACGAATGTCTGATTTTTCTCGACATTTGACATTCCCATAGCAAAAGTTCATGCTTTAGAGGTAAGACATTTACATAATGTTGTACCGTGAATTGCCATTCAGACATTCCCACCTGTGGGAATGTCCACTTTGTCGAGAAAAATCAGACATTACCAATGGGAATGTCGAATGTCCAATATCAAACTAACTTTACTGTCATTCAATACGGGCGATTCCCATGGTGCGCCTCTAAGACCTTACAACGTACTGGCCAATCATAATGCGCGAAATCTGTCGACCCAATGCGCGTTCGGAAAGGTTCGACAGATTTCGCGCATTGTGATTGGCCAACGCATTACAAACTTTTGGAGGCACTACTGCACACAATAATGAACAGCCATTTGGATTCCAATGTTTGAAGTTGGCGCTACTTTCTATACAGCTCTGGTCTACCCCAAAAGAGCGCCCCCAAGAAATTTTAAGGGCGTTTCTTTTCTTTGTGCAAACATTTTGAAAGACTCGTTTTTCAGGTTGAAACTGTCGCTTAGGTCAATCATTTTGATCTTATTACAGCTGTGCAACGGCGGAGGCAAACACCATTCAAACAAAATTAACGAGAGCTTAAAGAAGCCGGTGTTGAGGATGAATATTCATGATTTCCCGGACTGTCAGGATCCCAGGTGGCTTTGCGAGCGCCAAATGAGCTCTCGAAATCCTTGTCTTGCGCTTCTAATGACACTTAATTTGCTGGTCTGATCGGATGTCGTCGGATGGCCGTCACATGACTGTGGTTCGAGCTCCCCACTCACAAGAGCGAGAGCTGGTTGTTCACCCTTGTCAATCCTTCATTGGAGATGTTCGACTTTGAAATCAAATTGTCGCGTAAATAACCATCGCTTGTTTACGTCAACACTTGAACCACCTTTCACCATTACTAATTATTCATTGCTTTTCGTACCGGAAATTTGCCAGATTATCACAGGTCAGTGGTAAATATCGCTTCCGAAAATTCATTCTGATTGGAGAGTCACCCGAAGGAAATTCAGTTTCTTTCGGGACATCCTTCGGGCTTTGGTTCTTTCGGTTTTTCCCACTTACTTTTTCTTGTAGTTTTTAACCGAAAAATGGGATTTGTAAACAGCAAGTAAATTTTGTTACACCGATAGGACCTTGTTACATCAACGATTGATGTTAAATGCATATATTTTGAAGCTGATTTATTTTGTAATTTCTTTGATATTGGTATAACGGGATATAAATTCCCAGATTTATGGTATATTTTATGGTGTATATGGTACACATATAAAGAAGCTTGTTCTCAATGGCAATACATGTACATGTAGAGTTTGCTTGGACCAGCATGTACAAGACAGGCTTCCTCAAATAGCTTTGTAAGAAATGAGCTCACGAAAGTTGTAGTATTTCCTGTACATTTGTAGAGAGGGTATACACGTGCAATTATCGTACCCATTTTTATGGCTTTGCATGTGCGTTCGCGATGTTCGCCATTATGGCCAGCGCTGGCGCAGGTCCGCTTCCGGAGCATGTCTGTCCGCGCATATTAAGTAGGGAAGACGGGAAGGATCTGCGATCCCCCGTAGTAGCTATGTGCCGTGGCTTCGTTGTTGTTACGCCGGTGTATTTAATAACCAGGACGGTCAGGACTGACGATCACTCACGTAGGGCCGTGGAGCCCGGCGGGAGAAAAGAGCATCACTGCCTCCCGCCGCGCTAGAGTTTTGACCGGGGCTGAGCGCGCACTGACACATCGACCATGGGGTCGGGCTCCAGCGCCGCCTCGGCGGTGCGCGTGAAGGCGCGGGCCAAGGCAACCGTAGACGTGGCTGCGATGAAGGAGTCAACCCTCAGGAACCGACAGATCGATAAGATCATCAAGGAGGAGCAGCAGATTATGAGAAAGACCGTAAAACTTCTCTTTCTTGGTAAGTTTGATGTTGTATTAAAACCATGTCAAGAAAAGGGGTAGAGTGAGAAATGCTGCGGTTCAACGCCAACTCTCAGGTGTTTATATATTTTTACTTAAAATTGCGGTGCATTTGTTTTGGAAGGTAAGGATTATCATACCAAGGAATCTCTCAAACACGGCGTACTCATGCCCTGTAAAATGCGAGGCTTTCTCAGCACCACGCATGAAGACGTTGCGGTGGTATCCCAAATCTCACTTTACTGCGCACATTTGCATTTTAAACCTTTCACCGTAAAATTTATATTGTGATTTTTCGTCAGGGATGGGGTTGGGAGATTGCCGCCCTTCGAAACATGTTGACAATTCTTTACGCGGAGTTTAAAGTGCCACACTCTTGAAAACGCTGCTTCCACAAGTCGGGAGAGTTAGAATTCTATCATGGATGAGAAAAAATGTGGACCTCTGTGTTCAGAAAAATGATGTCATTCTGTCCCCCTCTCCCGACTCAAAACCCGGATACTCCACTGGTAACCCTTTTGTCTTTCACTGTGTCGTCGGCCGTAGAGAAATTTTACACTTTTCAGATTTGTACAAGACATCAACCTTTGGCAAAAAAGACCCTTCTATCGCCTACTGCTGGCTGTTGGGACACCCCCACACCCCGAAAAATTATTTTGTGTACAAAAAGCTATGCAAAATTAAAACACTGAATACCGTACTATGTTGTTAATACTAAGTGGAAATGTATCAGTGTAATGCCGATGATGCAAAATATACAACATTTCTAAGGCAGAGATTATTGCCAACCAAAACTGAAATTTCTGTAAACTTTGGCTGTTGGTACAAAATGGTTGTCAACATTTGTAAACAAAAGAAAGATCAACCAGGACAAGTCTGTGATTCCCTTGAAGGGTCATAATTTTGTAAATATACCAACAAAATGCCCGTTATTTTGCTCGGTTTCCCACAGTGGTCTTTGTCAGTTTTGCTCTGCTTACGTGAGCTAGGCCGTACATTCTGACTTGAGTGTCATGTATTTACTGCACGCATAATTCAAATTTGACGTGCGGACAGCGCACGCCCTGTTTACGTAAAAAGTCCATGCAGTAACGATAGCTGCAAGAGGTAGCATTCTATGGCAGCCTTTTTGTAAAGTGTGCGTTTTGGCTGGTTCCGTATTCGCAACCGTTTGCCGCGTTTAGTTAGTCTTGTATGACCACGCACATACGGGACAACTTGGATTGGCTCGTAATGTGAATAATAAACCCGGCGGAAAAAGTGTATGAAGTTGAAAACCCTGTCGTGTTGACTGTCTGAAAATCGGATTGAGAAATGACGCATGTACTGTCCTTTCTTTAATTGCGTCGCCACTGAGATATTCATGGTCCTTCCCGACTTTAAAACAAAAGTCACGAAATGATTCAATAATGAAACGACTGTGGCAGACCAGTAATTGGAACGTGCGCAGTCGAGGCCGGACGGAAATTAAACGGTTGTCAAGGGTCATCTCCGATGCCTATGGGTTTGTCTGGAGCTGTCGTTTCTCATTTTTGTGGAACTCGGTAAAAAAGTCAAGAGCATCAGAAAATACGCCATCACTTTTATTTCTGACAATGTGTCAGCCACACGCTTCCAAAATGGTCGATGCAAAACCACAGTAAACAAAAACTGAAGAACGCGTGCTTGTCATTCAAAATTATTGCACGTTTGAAGTTTGTCAAAGGGCCTAGACCATGGGCTAAGGTCGGGGATGTTCATTACCTTTGTTGGAGAGGGATGAAACTTTCTGTCATTTTCGAGAAAATTGGCAGGTTGGGAGCGTACACTTTTGGGTTTATTCCCGTGAAAGTGAATTTCCATCTTCAGACCCAAGGACTTGCTGTAGCGTCCAGCTTGAAACGCGTCTACATACGCAAGTTCATCAATATTAAAGGTTTCTTCTGGACAATAATGTCCTATAACGGTTTCTTATTAATTTTTGTAACGAGGTTTTGGCCTGATGACCTCATAAGTCCCTTTCCAACAAGACTGTATTAAAGATCAATCAAAATGCTTTAATGTAACTTGCTATTTAACGGGGAATCGGTCTTTGTTACCCATATCATGACTAACGTGGCAGCTTCTCTTCGCATTTACAAAAAAGTCATCATTTTGGGAGTTCAGTTCCACAGCGAGAATGCTCAGAGTAAAAATAAAGTGTCAAATCTAGCGATTTGGTGATGTCATAATACGGCTCTCATCCCCCAAAGTTTCTTGACCTTGCCGACGTAATAGGGGCGCGGCCGGGGCCTTTATGGCACAAGAGAGAAAAAATGGGTAAAGTAAGTTAGATGTCATTCTCGGAAAAATGACCTAACAGTGGTGTGTAGAAGGGGGATGGGGGTGGGGAAAGGTGTGGGGGATGACTTGCTCCTCCATGGAAGTCTGGAAAGGGGTTGTGGGGGGGGGAACCATATATACACTGGGGAGATGTTCATAATAAAGATGTACATCTATATCTGTAATGTGTATCCATTCATGCAGAAATCATACATCAGAATGGCCTATTTATGGCTTTTTAAAATTGCTTTCCCGTTTTAGTGATATTGCAAACATTTTAGTAGTTGGGAAATCCTGGAAATTCTTCACAATGCGCTTAAATTTTTTGGCTCATCACAAAAAACTGGGGGGGGGGGTGATTCGTAATACTCCGATGGACCACAGCCATCTACTTGAAGTCATAAGAACCTGACTCCGGTTCAAGTTGAGACGGTTCAACTTTGTCATGCGATGCAGTGTTGATCAACATTGTCGGGGAAAAGCATTTCCAAATCAATCTCCGACTACTTCTAATTCACAGTTAAGTGCAAGCAAGCACAGCGCTCACATGCACACTGGCACGTTCGCCCCGAAATAATGAAACAGTCGATAAATCGCAGAGCCGTAACATAATCAAAACAGGCTTCTCTTGGATGCTCCCGACGACTTTTGTTTTCAGTTGGCCTGATACGAAGGAGGGCTTCAACTCGTGCTTTTGACGTCAGTAGCAATCTTTATACATGTATTTTTTACACGATAGATTGTTTTAAATATAACAAAAATTCACAAAAACTGAAATCATGAATTACCAATGTGATTGATCTTTAAAATATTCTTATTACGACAGGTGCTGGGGAGTCTGGAAAGAGCACATTCGCCAAACAGATCAGGTGAGGTCCAATAAAGAAAATGATTAATTGGAATTTCTTGTTGTACAATATCTGCACAAATCCCCGCCAGGGGTCGTTGATCACATGCCATTGAATAATTCGTTCTATTCGACGTTATCCGTTGAATAGAACGTCACTTCTACTGCATGTGGTTGCGCAGAGTGGTTGATTGACCAGTCGTGCGCAAGCGCGTAAGGAGACACAGGCCCTTACATATGTATTATTGTGGGGTATTTCCTTTGTTCTCGTCTACAAAACTTCCACACAACACGGAAAAATTTCAAATCACTGCCGTTTCAACCAAATTCAGTTTTCTGGGTTGAAATTTCGACCGTATGTCCCTATACAAAACATTTCAATTTGCGACAGATGAATGGCACATGAAAATTCCTCCTTTTTGAGTAAATTTGAAATATCTATTTCGTGAAATTCTTGTGGGGTACCACTTTAGTACCCCACAAGGATCAAAACTGGCCTCGTGGGGTACCTCCCATTGTTCCGGTACCCCACAAGGCACCATGTACAAACGCATTCAACAGACATGTAAATGTGCCTGAAGCTCACGATTCTACCTACACTCATGGAAGGTAGATATTCCGTATCGTACACCTTTATCAAGATGACCCCGTCACTCTCAGGCGAAAACAATAGAAGACAGATCATTTGCAGGTGTCTCATTGCAATACTAAGACAGCCACATTGCTTTGCTGAATATAACTTGTGCATGGAGTAAACTTGTGGCAAAATGCTCTGCACAGGGACACAAAGACCGCGATTCCCCCCAATTGAAAAATGATACTGTGATTTTGTTAATAGAGCTAGCAATTGTGTATGTTCCAATCTAACTCTGGTTGCCGGTTACGTGGGGTCGTAGGTTGATACATCATGGCGGGTTCAGCGAAAGTGAACGCATGGCATACAAACTGGTGATTTACTCCAACCTCATCAGCGGCATGCGGGCCATCATCGACGCCATGTCGACGCTCGACATTTCCTACAGCCATCCGACACGACAGGTAAATTAGAGGCTGGTCAACGATTACTCCTTGGACTGACTTATTTTAAGCCTCCATAAACCAGTGATCTGTGGTGCTAAGCATTTTATTCGAACCGACTGGACAATCGACAGCTGACAGATGTCAGATTGACCACAACACTTTTCGATTGCCAAATGGTTAGAAAACGACAAAAATTACGTGAAAAGGTTCTGCTCTTTTATCAGATGGACGAATCCATTTTCAGAGCTCAGGCACACATGGTGGAGATGGGTAACCTAGATATGACACAAGAGCTGGCAGACACCATCATGGAACTGTGGAGAGACCCGGGGGTGCAACAGTGCTACGACAGATCCAACGAATACCAGCTTCTAGACTCAATCTCGTAGTAAGATCATTTTAGAGCAGGGTTCATCGAGTTTTAGATTGTAAAGGGAGGGCTTGCGGGAACACCACGTGGATAGATCTCTCGAGGAAAAAAAGTGTGCTTCGATAAGAACCGTCGGATGTGAACTCAGTTTGACTCATTTCAAGCCTGACTACTTCATCGATTGTTGGAGACACTTAAGCCACTTTTATCGGAAGTGCCCGACTTAATGTAATCATAGCCACGTTCTGATCAGGAATTAAGTTTGTCAAAATAACCATGCGACAGAGTGTGCTCGAGGAAACTCGACAGATGTGCTTGCATTGAGCTTTTTTCCTGTTCCTGCAAGAAATGCATGGGTACATTGCAGTAAACTTTGAAACGAGTAAGGTAGTATAGACGTACTTCCCGTCTAACTTGGTCTATTTTGTTCGATCGTTGTCCTTAGTTTCGTTGAGAATGTCTACCGTGTTGCCCATCCCAACTGGATACCAACAGACGAGGACATTGTGCGGTCCCGCCTACGAACCTCCGGTATTATCGAAACACGATTTCAGTTCCGAGGACTTACATTCAGGTAGGCCTAAACCGCTTCTACTGTGGATAGAAAACCTTAACTTGAAACGGTTTCCCCTTAATCTTAGCTTTATCATATGCCGAAAAATTCCAATGACTGACAAACAATTGTTTACCGTTTTATTTTACGAGGCGTGAGGAGTAGTCTCCTTCTCAAGACTGGAACAATATTCTTCGCGGCAAACCCAGGGAGACAAAAATACCCAGACCGGACAGAATAATCCGGAGAGGATCACAATAAATTGGCCTGGAAAGGGGGATTTTTACCTAATTCTGCCCGCGGACAGTTTTACCATGGGAACTAGGTAATTTACCGTCTACACCGGCAACGTCCATTAACTACTTCTGTGGCCGGAACCCAAGAAATGAGAGTCGACGCCAGGGTTCAAAAAAAAAAAAAACAGGCTGCAAGATGTTCGCAGTGACAATTTGTCTGGCTATTCCCAATAGTGGAGCGCTTGTTAAGTTTAAAGTGGGATTTGAGAAAAAAATATTCACGCCACTCGAATTTATTCCCAAGGCTGTGAGAGGTTGGAGTGGCCACATGATCTTCTGCGGAATATTGCCGGCACCAAAATCTAACTGAAGAGAAATTCCCATCTCCAAACTGTGGGGACTTTTGTCCACTGACATGCAGGTTTGGTTAAAAATCGTCTAGTGGGTTCTTCGTGTTGGCACTAAATTGCTCTCTCGTTTACATAACATAAAACAGGTGCTTTTGCAGCATTGTGGTCAATGCCATTGACAGAATTCCTGGAATAATATTTGTATCTCCTTGGCTTGAAAATTCTCAGCGCAAATTGGCTTGCCATCATAATATTTCGGCGCAGCGGGTTCTTTACACAAAGCTCCGTGAATGCACGGTCATCCACCTAACTGGCAGGTTTTGTTGTTTTTATCATTCATTTTTTCCCCACTTATCATTTCCTCCGAGAATTGTGCTTCTTCAATCGGAGTCAATAACTTTCATGGCATTTATCCATTCCGACGCTCGGGGACATGCCCGTCTAATAATTTGTCGTGAATTGTCGGCACGCTCATCAGAAGGTTGATGGCACTTGGGATTTTTTTTCCTCTGAACCAGAGGGCTTCAACATGCACGTTGGACACGCGTATGATTGACTGCGTGTGCGCCGGTAACCTTTTCAAGATTTGCCGTCCTTTATTGGATGGACTGAAAGACAAACAAGCCGGTGATTGTTTTTATTCATAATTATGATCCTCGACCAAAACATATTGACGTCATGCTTTGTTTACATGTGCGCTTTCCTATGGGAGCTCGGTGGATCGCGTCCCACCTCAATATCAAAGGAAAGTTTACTTGTAAACAAAGCTTGACATCACTATGTCTCAGGTGTGCCGTGTCTTTTTTATCAACGAGCTCTTCGGCACATTTTCTTGCTGTTGAATGGTTTAGCACTTGCAGACCCGTAACACAAACGACCACGAAGACATCTTTGCAAAAGGCCATGTTCCAACTTTCGCTGTAGTACTCACCACCTGAGCACATTCCGAGTAGGCCTACTGCAGCTTCACTATGTTACTGACTTATGAGACACTTTGCTTTTGGAGGACGCATGTTTGTTACTTTTGATACCTACTCTAGGTCATGTGACTTACTGGGTGCAATCGGTTTATTGCCCTGATTGAATTGGCCACAGCTTAACTTTTTTGGGAACCTGAGAATGAATCTGAAAGTTTAGAAATAAGTTTCGTGTAACCCCATACAGTTGTGTAATTAACTAGAAAAACAAAAACAACCCCCCCCCCCAAAAAATAGAGCAAATAAGCGCCGTGCAAGGAGGCGTACGCTATGTGGCCGCACTGATAGGACAGACCTTGCGTGTGCGTATGGAATGACCTCGGGCGCCCTTCATATTAGGCAGTCGGGTTTTGGAATGCCGAACTGGCTCATTTACATGGCTTTGCACAACTGTTTCGGACGTTAGGGGCGCTTCAGTGCCCTCGAGATATCTGAAAAAATGGGGCCCAACACAAGGGCGATTCAAATTAAAGCACGCTTGTTCGTTTTGGTTGTAGATTGTTGGACCCCGGTGGACAGCGCAGCGAACGACAGAAATGGATCCACTGTTTTGAGGACGTGACGGCGGTTCTCTTCATAGTGGCTATCAGTGCTTACGATCAAGTGATACGGGAAGACCGAGAAACGGTAGGCGACGCCTGGTACAATCAAGTCCCAGACTAGGCCTAGTCTACTGTGCTGGTCTCCGTATTCTTGGCCCTATCCCCCCCCCACATTGGGGACTCTTGTGAAAAGAGCTTCCTGCGCCCCCCATTTTTCTTATAGGCCTACGGCTTCACCCACCCGATCTGGTCGTTGTAGACCTAAGTCACCATTTCGGTAATTTTCCGACTGTTTCTGTTCATAAGATTTTGATCTCTATTTTTATCACCTCAACACGGCCATTCGGTTATTACATCGATTCATTTCCGATTGTTGAACGGGCGATAAACAGAGTCGTGATCTTTCTGGGAACCTCTGTTGCTCAGATCACCTCAACCAGTCTGAGAACCCCGTTAGGTTTACCAAGGCACAAAAGGGTGCCTCAAATAGTAGGACTGTCTTAAAACATGATGAGGCCTATTAATAAGGGAATGAAGATTTGCTGGGCCGGCTCAGGGGAATGGACGCAACGAATGAGTGAGCCGCAAGCGAGGGCCTATCAGCGTTCATTCTCCGGAGCAAGGTCTTGAACGTTAGTTTAAGACCGACCAAGCACATAATTTATTCACACTGTTCATAAATACAATTTTAGACAGAGGGTCAAAGAAAATCAATATACGATAAATTTCCAAGGATTTTGTTCAAGAATTTTTACTCTCATTTCCCCGAACACCCTAGACCATTTTATGGTATATTCCTTGTGCAAGATGTCCAAAAGAATCTCCTTATATGGACTTGGTGCGCGCGTGGCGAGCCACGTGCACACAGACTCTTAATTGACCAATCAGAATCGACTAAACTGCCTCACATTCAGGTGCCAGCGCGTGATTTACGCAGTGAGCTGTATCACTTCTCAGAGTGCATTATCAAATGGTAATACACGATCAAGTTGAACGTTGTTGAAAAGGGAGACTGTCTGAGTTATTATGTAGATTAGATTTTTTTTGGCATACTCTGAATCACCCTTTGGCTTTGTCCAACTTTCCCCTGATTTTTGTGTTGCCCCCCCGGATCTTTTTTTGTATTAAACGACTTGGGTCATTGTTGTTTACACCACCAGCCCAGGATGCAGGAGAGCATGGTACTCTTTGCCTCCATTTGCAACTCCAAGTGGTTCACCAAGACGGCAATGATGCTCTTTCTCAACAAATGTGACATCTTTGAGGAAAAGATCCAGCGAGTTCCTCTGAATTACTTCTTCAAGACATACAGAGGTTAAAAACTACATATTTTGTAAAAACCCAACCGAGCAAAATTAGTCCTTAGTATACTTAGAGCCACTTTTAGAAGAATCTTACTGGGTGAAACTTAATTGGAACCCGTATGATTTCTTGCCCCTTTTCCCTGGGATGCTAGACTGATAGCACATGAAAATAAGAACTAAGTTTACTCTTTCTAATGCAATCTAAAAACAAAATTTACTGAAAATATAACAATCATGTTATAGGATCCGGTCACTTTTTGTTATATTTTGCGATAATGTTTTGGATAAGTTTGGCTCCATTCTCTGACCTCCACAGAGCAGAGCAGAAACGGTGGCGTTCTATATCTATAATTCTATATCTTGGTGTCCAATTGGCCGACCAGCTGTGTTGTTTCGTGGTCTAACAGACTTCCAAAATGAATGAATGATTGGAAAGTGTGAATTTCAGAAAAAAAGACGCCACTTTTATGCAGCCTTTTTGAGCCGTATTTATTTGGCCCAGATGATAATTATCGTTATTTGATTTTTTTTACCAGGACCGAATGTAGCCAAACCGGCAAGAGCTTTCATCTGTGACGTGTACAAGAATCTCAGTAAATCCAAGAGCAGGCAGATATATCATCATTTCACCACTGCCATCGACAGGTCGAACGTCCAGTTTGTCTTCGATGCTGTGGCAGATGTTGTCCTAAAAAGTTCCCTCAACACGATAGGGATGTTATAAAAGAAACTTGGGAATAAAAACGGCAATGTTCTTGCTCACAACGACACTATGTATTGTAGAAAATGTTCAAAACAAACTGCCAACTTGTCGTCTTCGTATCGAACGATGGCGTCCATTTCTTCCTTTAAGGTGTTAGGAGGAAATCGGCCAAGTTTTTGTGCATGATACGCAAACGTAACGCGATGCTAATCAGTGGAATGGACCAGCGGCATCGCCAGGCTCTTAGGGAAGGATAGAGGGGTGCAAAAGTTCCCATGCCCAGGAGGGCATTTCCCCCTCCATCTCTCCCCCAGCTAAGCCATTGGAACGGACGCGTTTTTCTCCACACCCCGTTTTCCCTGACGGAGGTAAGGGGGGGTAAAGGCTAGTGACTACCTCCAGCTAAAGATGATTTTCGTTTTGCTCCGCATGCAACATTCGATTTGACCTGAAGAGGCTTTCTAAGGAAATATGAAACAGCACAAATTTTGCCCAAGGAACTAGTGACAACCAGCAGTATTAAGACCAGGAATCAAGACAAAACGGAGCTTATATGGCAGCCAAGGAGATCCACTAGAGCCATAATAATAACAATGTTGGTGCTGCGTGTTTTGTATTTAAGATGGACCGTAAAAATACACATTAAGAACGTCTTAAACAACCATCAAAAGTATTCAAGGGCCAGGGAAGAGAGCCCACGATAAGACTGAAATCAAAAGCAGAAAGTTGCAAAGGAATTGTAGTTATGATGTACATGTATATAGCTGTTTTCTAACTTATTTCCAATTCTGTATATGTATAGCATTACAAAATTACAAACAGGGTATTTTTGGCGAGGTTTACTAGACGTATTGTCTTGGTGTTTCTTTAAGCACAGATATTATAAATTGAAAACATAAACTTAAAAAGAAGAAAATGAAAGAGAAACATTTACATATATCTAGAAACAATAAATGAATACAATCCTTGTGTTAAAGTGTTTCGGATAGATGCTCCAGTTGTTGAAAAGGGTTTTATTTTGATGAGAGGAAATCGAACGGACAATTGAAAAAGTAGACATATTTTGGGTTTTTGTAGATTTTTGGCTATCCCGGGCACATCCTTGAGCTAGAGGTAACGAATCGTGTTTCAGTAACCAAAAAGCTATTTTCAGACTTTTTATCCAAAATGAAAAACGGATTTTATGCCTTGCATTATTTTGTTCAAAAATTAGTATTCGGTTAAGCATGTCTTTTTTCTACTCTTACAAAGAAACAAAGAAAGAGTCCGGAAAGTAAACTCTTATTTTGAAGAAAGAAATTTGGAATAGAAAATTTTTTTAGAACGAAACAAAATAAGAACAAAAGATTAAAATTGCATTTTTATAATAATTCAATCAAAATGTGTCTTTTCTATAAACAATATTGTATCATTTGTCGATTCCAATAGAGCATATTCTGGTCATGTCCTGTTGTTAAGGCCATGCTTTGGAAAACGTTTGAACGATTTTTGGAAAGTGTTATTTCCAGACAAAACTGAATAAATGAGTTGGAACGGCAGACAGTGCGACAAAAGTCTGGACATGCGCTTTTGAGGACCGTCTTCTAGTTTAGTCGCTTTTGATTAATTTCGGGGTGAACTTTAGTCCAAAATAAAAAAGAGGGGTTAGACTTGTATTTAAAAAAATACGGTCAAAATTTGTCTTTTATTTCAATACAAAAAATGCTTGTGGATTTAACTTGAACTTTAACTTCAGGTATTACTAAGGCCATATTTAGAAAAAATCAGTGAACTTTGGGGAAAATATAAGCTTTAGGCAATTTTCTAGGCAAAAATAGAATTTTTAAAAAAATTCTGTTCATTCAGGAAATGACGCTTTTTAGAATCAGGAACAATTTATTAAAATTTCTCTCAAAAATAATAAAAAAAACAGAACAAGGGTTACGCCTTACGTTTATATTAAATTCGATCAAACTTCGACTTTCCTCTAAACAATTCAGGAATTTTTTTGGTGCTTATTTTAGCATTGTTGAAGCCTTAATTTGAAGAAAAACCAAGGTTTTTTGGTAACATTAAAGCGATAAGACAAAAATAAAAATATGATTTTGAACGGCAAGACAGTATAAGATAATTCAGGAAATGTACTCCGGGGATCATCGGGGTACTTTATCAAGGAGCTAATTTAGTTTGAGGTTTTTTCTACCAAAACTTAAAAAATGACAAAGAGTTAGCCTTACATTTTATAATTAAAATTCGGTCAAAATGTCTTTCCTCAAAACAATACAGAAATGATAGTCGTGTTCAATCGTGTACACACTAGTATTGTTAAGGCGATTAATTTGGGAGAATGTGAGATTTAGCCAAAATGAAATCCTTTCCAGAAACACGCCAGTGCGTTTAAGTTAAGAAATATGCATTGGGGTAAGGGGTAAGCCTTGCATTTTATTATTTGATAAAATTATATATTTAAATAAATAAAATATTATTTATTTAAACTTCTTTGATTACAACAAACTCCATTAAAAGAGAACACCAAAGTTGTAAAATAGGGAATAGACAATTTTTTATTTATCCTTCTTTCCAAATGTTTTTAATAGAAACTGCGAGAAATACATACTTTAGAAAGTAAAGGAATTTGACTATTAAGGAACGCTACACGCACTTTGCCTTTAAGGAGAAAGTTTGGTCTGAAAATGGTTCGGCAAAACTTTTACAAACACCTGGCATTTTATTATAAATCAGTCAATCGGTTTGATTCACAATACACTCCAATGAAAGAGAGCACAGAACTTTGAAAATACGTAACAAAAACTTTGATCTTCAATCCCAAATTTGTGGGTGTTTTTTCCACAAAAATACAATACAGGCTTTAAAGAGTACAAACATTTTAGTTAGGATAGAAAACTTTAATCATGCAGCTTAATAGTATAAAATTAATACACCCATCTGTATATTAAACACTCTTTTTTGTCCCCATAAAAGATGAGCAAATCAAAAAAAAATTCCAATGAAAAAAATATATTCAACCCTTCATCAAAGAATATATAAACAAGTACATATATATTATCTTAATCTTAATGTTTGTTACACTGTGCCGATGCAGCAATTATAAATATCTTAAGGTTGATCTGAGTTTTATTACTTGTGAGCTATCAGATCGAACTGTTTGCAAAATCAAATAAACTCTAGTGCTGTTTAATGGCTAATGTCCTCCAAGATGGCGTCACACCCTCCATGATGACAACTGGCCTCTAATATGGTTGCAGTGAATCAGGCCTATCTCTTTAATATAGACTGTGTTTAGATACAAACTACAAAAAATATGGAAAAAATCCCCCCCCAATCATATACAATATTTTTCGTTCAAGTGGCAGGCTGCTGCTAAAGATAACTTCAATAGTGAAGTCCCATCAATTCAGTATGATTGATTTCATCAAATGAAAACCATAAAAACTGCTGTGGTATGGCATATTTGGACTGTCCTATGGATAGGATAATGGGATACTATTTCAGGTGTCTCAGTGCATAGAATGGTGACGGTGTATAACTTCAGGTCAGAAAGCTCACTGTACTCAGTAAACATTAAGAAAATCAGACAATACACGAGTACAGGTTGTTTCTCACGACCCTCGACCTTTGCAAGCATATGAACTCATTACTACAATCCACTAAGGAACATTTCAGAAATTTACAATGCAGCATCATAACAGATTACAAACGAGAAGTCAAACAGAAAAATATATAAACCTGAAATTATTGCAATCACATGATTTCATAGATTTTGAAAGTTTTTCGAGACATTTTTCCAAATAAAAAAAAAGAAAAATCAGATTATACCGAGTACTGATTTTTGTAACTTACTTTTTTATCAGATACTATTTTAAGATCCCCTGATTTGGGGAAGATGGTATTTGCACAGAGGTTGATTTACGGGGGAACGATCTCTGCTACTAGATCGTGGCCACAACCTCTTCCGCTGCTCGCTGGCCAGCCTGAACGGCACCGTTCAGTGTTCCACACCACGACGTCCCCGTGTGTGACCCTGCCCAGTGCACCCTGGGATAGGGGAGAAGTAAATAGATTTAGATGTAAAAATGCCAACTCTGGAGTGGAGGGATTCCTTGAGTTCTTACCTGCGACACTGCATGCATGTCACATTTGAAATTCCTCTGGCACTGTGTTTAGGGTATGGTTTAGATTCTCATTAAAAGTACGGTCTGTCATTCGGAGTTATCCCAAAAGTAAATGAATTATTCTTAAAATTATTGTTGAAAAGGATACTTGGTTTTAGGATGGTCATTATACTAAACTTCTGTGAAATTACTTTTTTCTGGCTATCTTTTTGAAGAAAACAATCAAAGGCGGCCATTTGACACGATGCATCTTAAGACATATTTAAAAAAAATAGCTAGTAGAAGGGCAAGCAAGCGTTGACATAATTCATGGTTTCGTGCATGACGTTTCATAGCTGCAGGTGACTGAGCGTGAGAATGTGTCCCAGATAGTGAATTTGGGCTCAATTCAAAACATGACTTGCCAACTTATCCAAGATTGAAATCCCAGAATATCGTTTATCTTGGACTATGCAGTATTCATTATGCTCAGACCTCACCAGGTTTGTTCTAAGAAAGCCTTCTTCAGATTTTCAGTCATTGTGTTGCCTCTAAGGAACATATTCCACAAATGACGAACTTAACCTTTTAACGCAAACTTACCTTCCGTGTGGCTTGGTTATAGAGGCAAGTAGTTCCGAGGACTTTGTGGCTGGTGCTTTGTCTTCATCGGTAACCACATCGCCGGCCCACTCCTGTGATAATGTACATGTATGTACAGGGAAAGTGACTCTGTGGCGGTCCTCAGAGGAACAGGGAACTGAGGGGGTCTGGGTTTTCAAACAATCTCATAGCTGCAGGGGTCAAGTTACTTTTTGAATTGATCACGCCAAGATTCCTGCTGAAAACTTGATATGCATGGAAAAGCATTCGTCGTAAGTGCACCTAAGTAGTTTCAATTAAATCTGACATGAAGCTTTGTTGTGGCAATCATTTATAGTTCACACCCGTAAATATGTTGGCCCATGTTCTTTGAGCACGTCTTTGGGAAAGGTTCCCATTTCTGGCTGACCTGTCTCAGAAAATGTTGTGAGAACGGGATGTCTAATTTTTGTAAAACGTGCATCAAAATGGTAGTAAGACATAACTGGAGAAATTCCTAAAGGCTTGGCACCAAAATACTCCAAAACACACAAAAGAACTGCATACGTATCAGAAAAAATGTCAGGGGGCAGATACCCCACTTTTTGTTAGGGTTAAATTGAATGTTGACAAGTTTCACTATTGACTGTTTAATGTTCTCAGCATCTAATGGCTATTAAGTTCTGACAAGTTCTGAGACACATCCCACAATCCCACGAGTGATTTTTTTTTCTTACCCTGTCTGTGTAATCCAAGCAATCCAGCACCTGAGGTCCAAAGATGTTGCTAAGGAGATGAAGAATTGTGTCTTTCTTCTCCTCTCTCTGACAAAAAAGACACAAAATAGGCACATCAAGTCTAGCTTATGGTTAGGGCTTCATTTGTTAGCCATCTATATTGACAATGACTTTTGTCGTTGTTAATCATTTCTGGTAATAAAACAAAGGATTCCTCAAGAGCTTCCAACTCTAAAGAGACATGTTGAGAGGAAACGTTGAGAGGAAGTTACAGTTTCAGAGGTGGGAGGAAAACCCCAGAGGAATCTTCTGGGTAAAGCCCATGCAATCAGGTAGGGACTGAAAACCCAATCCACACGTGGACTGAGCCAGGAATCAAACCCTGGGATTCCTAGGAAATCTTGAAAAGTGAGGAGGAAAATCCCAGAGGAATATTCTGGGTAAAGCCCATGCAATCAGGTAGGAACTGGGAACTAAATGTAAACGTGGACTGAGCTAGGAAATGAACTGAGGCTGTAAGAGATAAAAGGAGAAAAAAGAACTACCATAACAACTCGACTAGTTGCTTTACAATTGTTATCTTAGATGGTTAGTCAATTAGACCTGGACATTTAATAACAATTTGTGGCTGAATACAATGCTTTCTCTGTTCTGTGCTACTAGGCTTTTGGAATCTGTGTTTCGTTCCCTATTAATCCTGCTGCTCATTTAGTTGCTACTGTCTGGCAGTGAGTGGCTTAGTTTAGTTGGAAGATCTGTGAACTGGTTCTTACTGATTTGCCCTTCAGTCTCGCTGCGCTACTGAAGGCCTTGAGGGCCGGCTGACCTCCGGGCAAGGTCATATCAAAGCTGATGACCAGCGTATTGTCTGTGTCCGCCGTGCTGGTCGGGTTACTGGCAGCCATGTTGAGGTATTCTCCAGTGTGCCCAGCTTCACGCCAGAATGGCTAACAGAATACAAAAAACCCCATAACATCAAAACTTCAAATTGCCTGCAAATAAATTCTTTAAAATCATTTTTTTTGGGTAGTCTCTGAACATTTGGTAATATTCTTCGCACTTCTTGCTAAGAAGAAGAAGGACTTACTGTTTTGTATGTGATCACGCTGACCATCAAAAAATTACTACTGGGGAAGGTGTGGCTCCTGTCCAATGGCAAAGGGGGGTCATAGGTCACCTTTCCTGTTTGGCAAAATAAATTTTATAAAGGCATATAAACTGAATACGGCCGTTTCACAATAGTGCGCCACCAAGAGTTTGCAACGCGTTGGCCAATCACAAAGTGCGAAATTTGTCGACCCAATGCACGTTTAGAAATGGTCGATAAATTTTGCGCGTTATGATTAGCCAGCGTGTTGCAAACGCTTGGTGGCACACTATTGTAAATCGCCCGTATTTCCACAAATTTGAGTGACTGAATGTGGCAGTGATGAATAGAATGTGTTAACCATGGAAACCATGAATATCAGTTAATGCTTACAAAATACTTCAATTGTTTGATGGAGTCTACATTTTATCTTTAGTGTGGAATCAATCACTCACGCAAATACAATTACCACAAATTTATCTAGGCTTGCTAACTCAAAAACACATGTGGTGAAGTCATGGGTAGGTAAGTATGGGGCATTCAATAACATGGTGTATAGAAGAAACAATGAAACAATCTCTGATCTTTCTGGTTGTCGCACATGATGTTTCTCAGCTCTGAAAACCGAAAATAAAATCATACTTCAGGAGAATCGGCCGCGTTTTACTCTCACGTGAATTGAGGCATCTGGCAAATAGTCACGGTCTACTACTTGAAAAATCTGACGCAAGCTGGTAGGAAGGAAAGAGCATTGATTGGCCCCAAGGAAGAGGCTGCCCTCGTCCGTCCATGCACAAAGCCAATGGCCTCTCTATGACTACACGGGTTGATATGGTTTACCTGTCAGACAACATGGTATGGCCATGATCACTCGTTGTGAGTGGTACTCCTTCCCAGACTGAGTGGTGACTTTGATGCCCCCACCCTGCTCGGCGATGCCGGAAACCCCGTCTCCAAACAAGATGTTCTGCTTGCCGACTTTCTCCACCAGTTTGTGGCACAGCGACATTGCGCCGCCCTGCAGGGAAGGGATTCATCATCTACATGTATGTACTAAAACTGAATTTGCGCAGCACTTTTGGACTCGAGCTTTGCTCTGTTGCTGCATGCACTATGTAGAATTTTGTTGAAACTAAAAAATACAACCAAAATGCATTATACCAGTCATAGACAGTGGAGTCAAAAATGACAAAGGAACACTTTTGTCACAGTTCGTTTGATTAACTTGCGACTTGGCCTAAGACTGAATGGCTGGTGATGGACTCGTGTGAGGATCATGGACCACTTCTTATAGACCATAGTATGATGCAAGTACATAGAGTCATCCATGTGTGGGTAAGTCTCACCTTAATGATGAGGTCGGAGCGACCTTTATCCCCACTGTTTATGTGAAGGTCCCATCCTCCACACGTGTGGATGATGTACAAATATTGCATCATCGTCAACTCAGAGGGGCTGGAGCTGCAGAAAGATCTGGTCATTGTTTCCAGAGTTATCTTGCCAACTGCAAAAGAGAAAAACTGACACTTGTCAACGGTAGATTTCGATCTAAGTTGATATTTGGGCAGCTTGAATGCACTTTTAAAGGCTCAATAAAACCCAACTCTACACAGTTTGTTTGGACTTGCAAGTATCCTTTGGTTGCTCAATTAATTGAAAAAAAAAAACCACTGTGTGAATGCTACACAGCGCCCTCGTCTGTCATGCATACTGACGTTACTTTACCGTGAGTCCAGAGGTACTTCTTGAGGAAGTCGTCCACCGTCATGGCATCCCACTCCTCGGCATGTTTACATTCCTTGACCCGCTCAGTGTTGACCTGAGACTGCATACTATCAACCTGAGAGTAAAATGAGGAGAGATGGAGTTGGAGACATATGCAAAACGATATCATTTCTGTCAATTTGTAATGTGACTTTGCAGTTCTCAGTCGAAAGTGTGTGCTTTGCATGAACTGACTACTAGCCAACAGTATCCACATCACGCTTGTCTCGGGCACGGCATTATGTCTAGCTGAAAATATGATATTTGACAACAGATAAACACTACAAGCACAGTCCTCTACAAAGATGGATGACACATACAGGGTGCCTACCCTAGGCAGTTGTTTGTTCAAGATTACTGCAGCATTTGTGACTGCATCATCGCTTTTTTGAAACCCCAAGACAAAGTCGCAGAGTGATTTTTTTTTTACAATGCCTGGCTGTTTCCCAGAGCTGTTTGTGGGCTCCGCACATGATAAAACTCCATGGGCTAGCATGAGTCTCCGAGTACAAACTTAGTGGGAATCACTCTGGCATGGGGACTGAGGTCACCTGGTGCTGCATACAGAATTCACACGAACTTCTTGAAATGTCCTCTGTGTTGCAACATGAAATCCCTGCACGCTTTCGCATCATCGGGCTAAAAGGTCAGGGAAGATAATAACAAAACTTGACTTATCACTGCTACAGACAACAGAATGAATGTGAATCCAACCTTCTTAAAGTATCTCACGACGTCCAGCAGGGTCGTGTACGGCAGTGGCGGGATTGCACCGGAGAACTTCTTCAGTTTGCCGTCGGGCAACCTCCAGAATTTATTCCCCTTGTTGTATTGAGGGTGTGTCTCCATCCCTAGGTCAGCTAGTAACTTCAGTACTTCCTTCTGGGCACTGACGACAACAAACAGGCCCTCTTGTTAGAGCTGGAAAAACTCTCACAGATGCCAGGTTTTTTTTAAGCTACCCGAAAGACAAGCACTTAAGGGAAATTTCCACGCAACATTTTATCCATCAATGCATCTGTCAGAGCATGACTTCACCATTTCATTCAATTTCACTTAGCAGTTTGACTACTGGTATAAAAAAGTTTAAATATGGAGGACAGAAGATCATAAACTTGGCAAAATGTAGATTTCAGTAGTTTATTTTAAATTCAATCTTCTCATGTACATGTGTAAGGTTGCAGAGCTGGCCCATAAACCTAATGCTGACACATTTATAGATGGGCTGCAAGACATTTGAGTGGGTAGAGGCCAAAGGTATAGGTGACTGAAAACCTCTGTTGCCAACAACTGCTACACTCAACATTTTCTGTTGGACCTAGCGTCATTTACGGTTGGTCTTCTACAATGAGTTCCTTGCTAGACAACAACTCTGAAAACTTACGTCCCAATGCGACTGCCGCAAATGTCCCAATCATTGGCTCCTGTGGAGCTTTTCAGTGTCTTACTGGAGATGTCACCTCCGATGTGATCTGCCCAAGTAAAGACAAAAACCTGACTGATTCACCCTCAAAATGCAGCCGAGCAGAATTTGCTTGTTTACGGTGAGGTGAGTTCTGAATTGAACTGCGACTCCTGGACAGAAGAATCACCCAAGTGTTGTAGATGAGCGCTTCACAAGAGCTTGGGTACTCACACTCACGAGTACTTCTCAAATACACAGGTCTAAATGTTAGAAGCCTATTCATGTGAATGAACCAAGGACACTTCTGTGTCATTATCTACCTCACAATGATGGCAAAAGCAATTCTGAGTATGACCAATGCCAATTCAGTTGACGTCCACTGTGCTTACCTGATGCCTCGATGACCATCAGCCTGGCTGTGGGCTTCTTCTGCAAGATGGCGTAGGCTGAGGTCAGGCCGGACAGTCCTGCCCCTACGACGATGACATCATGCCCCTCCCCACTGGGTGGAACTCCGTTGGTTGCCATGACACTGGGCAAGCTCTTGTACATGTATCTGATCGTGGCAACAAGAACATAATAACCACTCCAGCTGTCCCTTAAATTTGGTTATCTCAGGTTGAGGAGAATGGAGACTGATTGCAGAAAAGAATGGAACATTTGTCATTGATGCACGGTTTGCTTTTCAAGCAGTGGATCTGATTACATTTTGATCAGGTCCCATATAACGAGCTTGATTATGAAGTTTCTGTCTTGTGAATGCAGCACAATTTGGAAAAAAATTCGCAATATTTCTGGGTTCAGGAAGCAAATGGTCCACTCTATCACAAATACTTATTCCTCCATGATTCAATAGAAAAGGCACCCCGAGTTGTTCAAAGTTTACCAAAGTCGGCGCTGTTTTAAGAAATACGTGTAGTTTTCAAAGTTGAGTGTCAGGCATTTCTTCCTCCGCAATGCAAACTCACGAGCACTGCCGATTTGCTGAGGTCTAGAAGCTAGTGAGGAAATACGTAGATGTACCAGCTGTTTTTAGTCTGGATATGGACCAGAGACCTTGAATGGTTGAACTGCTTACTTGTAGAGCTTAGGGAACATCTAATAACTTGGAACAATTGTAAAGTTCCATATGAAGAACTTGTTCTGGGCTGGGACCTTTTCCACAACCCTGCCTTGGTATGGTCCGAGTGGAATGCTAATGTGTCAATGGGAATGGTTCCATTGGAATGCCAACGTTGCTGACTTTTGAGACGCTCCCTTATCCAGCCCTAAGGGCCCATCTGTTTTTTTTTCTCCATTATTGTCATAACTTTAAAACCATAAGTTAGGAGAGAGAAGGGTAATGTGAGGGGAACAAGTATGCACACATCTCAACAATACTGAAAATGCTAATTGCCAGCACAGAAGTCACCTCTCTCGTTTTTCTTTTCTGTTTGTGATGCCCAGGAGAGAGTCCAGAAAAAGAATAATCTTTCTGCTTTCTTTAATTTAGAGGAACCGTTCCATGAAATTTTCTTAGAATCACTGCATGTCTGCACTCTTCTCCAATGTATGGGACTGTAGGGAATCTTATTTTGTGTAAAGGTGAACTGAAACATGCACTTTTAAAACGATCAAAATTAACCGAGCATTTCCGGACAAGTGAGGGTGCAATTGCCTTGATGTATATCCAGGTAGACACTGGATGTTGCATGTTTTCATGCTCAAACTGTGAACTCCAAATTTGTTATTTGAAAACATTTCTGAAAAAAGGTTGCTCACTGGCTTATTGCCACATACTTCCACAACAATAAACTGCCAAAGGAAATGAAATCTATGATAGCAGTGTTTAAAACATCTAGAGATTCTTTGTGCATAAATCAGTGCAACACTGAGATTGGGTGCCTTGGATGATATCATAGTTTTGCTCATGAATATGCAAAACAATAGCATAAACACCACAAAAGTGCCAAAACATGGGTAAAAATAATAAAACAATAATTCAAAACTGGGTTAATTGAAGCCAAAAGGTGCAATTTCACGGATTTAAGTAAAACTTAGTAAAATTCAATTTCATCCTCCCTTTACTACTAATCAGCAATATACAGGCATGGAAGTAGGAAAAAATGTGATGAAATCTCTAGCCATTGTTACAAATGGAATTCCATAGTTCTTCAAACTGCTTCAGACAGCCAGCTGTGAATGTAATGAGTCAGTCATGTGATCGTCAAAAACAACTTCTGGGAAAGCTGTTACCATTCAATAATAAGCACAAACTTCTATCAAAATAAAGATGGCATATTACATTACCACTCCTGTCTGGTAGTTGCTAGTGGGACTGGTAGCTTCGAACTTTCCTCAAGGTCGCACAGGCTAGATTTTCATACCAGGCTACATGTATCAGGGTGGCAAACCAGACTGTTACATTCACCGAATGGCTAATCATTGACTCTGAGTCCACCAGGCCAGCTTGTCGGCCTATCAGTGTAATCAGGACCTTTGAACAATGGAATAGAGGTAACAGATTCCACTAGACTAGGGGTGTACAGGTACGTGCACTTTTTACAGGTTTTCCCAGAGAGGTACCTGATACTGCAATGGTGGTTTTCAAAAATAAACCCAGACGTCGAACTTCTGTATTACGTGATTTACTGGCATGCTACCAGCACTACACTTCTGCTCTAGGGGCGGGGCTTGGGTGCAGGGAAGGGGTGAGCTAGTGTCTCACCTAGTCATCTGTCCCCTGAGGACCGGCAAAAAAATTTGGACAGGCAATTCTTGCTTGTTCAAAATATACAAGCCCCATTTTTTTTTCAAATAGATATTTCACAATGGTGAACAAGCTTGCATTCTCCCACAGGCAATGTAAAATAAAAAACAAACCCCAATATATTGCTGGATCTGCTGACTACAGTGGTAGTTAAATACACAAATGTAAGAACAGTCAGAGAGTTTGACGGAGAGAAGAAAAATTGGCCTACCTCCTGACCTAACTCCTAACTGGAAGATTCTCAGAGCTTGCTGAGGTGAACTGCCTTGTGATAAGCTGACAGACCTGTTTTTTTATGAGGGGGGTAGGGTATATGACCCACACAGTTAATGCTATAATGTTTGTAGCAGATGGGTGGATAACTCCCAGGGCTATCCTCCATAATCGTATCAGCGATAAAGCTTCAAAACATCAAACAGAGATCAGCTGAAACATCATGATTTAATTAGAATTGTCAAACAGTGTTTGCAAAATAGCTTACCTCTATCCAATAAAATGTAGATATAAACTTGAACCAACCCTGCTTCACGACGGTCATATGCTAGGCCTATATTAAGCGTCAACAACTTGCAAGCTGCAGGATGTCACTCATATGTATTTACATTCTGTGATGTCATTGCACTATGCGCCAAAGATTGTATTTTTTCAGTCTGAATACCAGACCCGATTATTCCGACTGCAAGCTGTACGAAGGCCGTTTTCCAATACTCAACTTCGTTTCCGACGGAGGCTTCGTGTGGGCCTGAAGTGTCTAACTAAAATTGAAATACTGTAATCTTTGTCTCTTTTGTATCTTACTTGATGTTTTGTGGCACTATCAGACTTACTACTGCGCTTATAACCTCAAAGTCAGGAAGTAGAAAAAAAAACCAGTTGAAACCACAAACGGAGCCCAAGTCGAGTATTGGAAAACGGCCCAAGCCACTATCGCCCATCCTCCATTAGCCTTGGTTACAAGACGTTACTAATATTTAATACTATCTGTGCTCGCGCAGTAAATTTTGCCAGTCAACAGAGGGCGCTGTGGGCGCAGAGGGCGGTGCATGACGTCACTACGCAAAACTCACATGTGGACCGAATACACACGTACGCAGACTAGACGTACGTAGACAGAAAAACTGCTAGCAACATGTAAATGCGGCACACGTGCACGGGTATACTGAGCGCGCGGAGGTCGCTTAAATCCGTATGTTTTCGCGACTTTGTTTATCATTAAGAAATTAGTCTTTGAGGAATCGCTGGAACATCCACATGCTCGTCACTTCGTGATATCATCGATGGGAGTAAGCACAATTGATTTTACTATGATTATTCCACGTTTTAGAGGAATAAAATTCATGGGCATAGTTCTTCTGTTGAGAGTGAGGAGACCACGGAGAAAGGAAAAGACCATGTTAAGACTAATCCTACCATTGCTATGTACATGGCCGGCCCAGTAAGCCTTTTGCGAGTCAACTTTGACCCAAATCTGGTACGCTGAGTTCTTTTGAATTCACGTGAACGTAACAACTTGAATTTTCCGTACTAAAACCACTGTTAATTGCTATACCTCATGATTTGGGGCAAACTTTTGCTTAGTTACATAAGAGACGCCTTGCAACAATACACTGTTCTCAACGGATAAGAAAGGCACAAAGAACCAGTCCATTCCAGAGATGGTGTTCGCTATTCGAAAGCTTGCCCTGAATCATAAAGTATAGCAATAGTGTCTTTAGTCTGAGGAATTCTGATCGTTATGTTTATGTGCAATCAGATAACTCGGTGTACCAGATTTTCTTCAAATTTAACTCGCAAATGGCTTATTCTGTGAAAATGACATGAATAATTTGAGTAGGCCTATTGTAGCCAAGTGGGCAAGGTGGAAGGTTTGGAACCACTGGTGTACTTGTGAGTTCGTATCCGCGCTTGTACCATTTTATTTTTTTTCGCCTAAATTTCATGTTTTATACCATAACTGTTTTTTTTATGTTGGTTTCTAATTGTATAGGCCTAAGCCGGAATCTTTTTTCTTTTCTCATCGGAACGCTCCTTGGTATCCAAATACAAAAGGATTAGCACGGACGCTAGCCCAGGTTGGACGTTGTCTTCATTTCATTACATAGCATGGTCAGGGAGTCCACCTGGGCTACACGGAAGCATGCAAATACATTCTGTTCATGGAATTTTGAAAGTTGTAGTTAGTACTGAAGTGTGACATGTCTGTCATAGCAGACTACCAGAAGTCATTCAGTTTTTCGTGTCAGTGCTAGGTCCGATGTCCACAATTGGGGCGGTCATCAGACACCGCAGTTCTGGGGGTAGATACATGTGAGTGACACAAATTCCGCTTTTTTCAATCAAGTTTTCCTTCAAAATGAGAGCAACCATTAAGCTTGAGGTACCCAGGCTAAAGGAGGTTTTTACACCAAACATCACAGAGGTTGCCTCATCATTCTTCCGTTTTCTTCCCAAAGATTGCACCGTACCGTACATTTCATGTGCATCACACAGTGAACATGCAGCGACAGCCACAATGACAGCCAAGGGCCAGCATAGCCGAGCTAGTTCTGCATGTCATTCTGACTATTTTTGGAGGTGGCAGTGTTTAACCTGTCTCAGCCAGCAAAGCACTTGGCCTGATGGTATCACTCCAGTCACACAGCTCAGAGGCCACTCATGTGATAATAACAAGATTCTACCCCTTCCCCCTTGATATTTGGGTAAACTGACCTTGCTAAATTGGCCATTGGCCCGCGCATGTGCACTGAGCGTGTGATGCACACAGATCGTTCAGTACGATATGATTGTTGGGAAGAAAATGGGAGATACGTGAGTAAACCCTCCAATTTTTCAAAATAAGATTGTCTTAAAGAAACCGGCATTAATTAAATGTACATAGTTTTCAAGAGCTAAACATTTGGGTACCTAAAGTTGCTCTCACGTGAAAATTTGATTGAAAAATTTGACTTTGTGTCACTGGTCATGATAAGTCTGAAGGCTGGATTAAAAAAACAGATAGCATTGCGACCCCTTATAAACAAGTGTAGGGGCCCACCATACAGTAGATTATGCCCCCCCTAATTTTTCTTGAGGAGCAACTGTTTATTGCAGCCCCAGCTCCATGTGACTGTTCCATGTAAACCTCATGTGATGACAGGGAACGGTTGAAGGACTTCATGGTGAAAATGATGCAACTTCCTGTGGGCCACTGTAGGGTTGTGTGCCAGCCTTTGTTCTGGGGTCATTCTGACTCCATGCTTTGACCAGTGAGCACATGAACATTGACTCCTACACCACTCAGTGTCCACTTTGCTGTGTCATTTTTACAGAGTTCATCATTTTTAATGGGCATCTCGGAGTAGCAACTCTCTTGCTACCTGGGGTGCAACATAAACATGACCGCAAGCCACACAGATTAGTGACTTTAGAACACCCCGTAGGCATACCCAACAGTTCTTAGGGTAAACCTCCCAATACATGGCGAATATCTTTTCTCCATCAATCATGTTCTTATTCTCAGCTTGGGCCTGTCACCTAGCCCAGATTGGATGGCTCTTTAGGTGTCGTTAATTAGGGTTATGTACATGTATGAGACCTGTGTGGGACCATGAGAGGGCACTGTTTCCTAGTAACGGAGACTCCTTTGGTGGGAATTGCACCACAGGAGACTATGAAGTACACGCATCATGGTTGCGTGGCTACTAGTAAATGAATTCTCCCCACCAACATGCATGACATGGCTCTTTTCGAGCAATGAGGGGGTGCTTTTGCTCAAGGTGCATAGACCTACATGTACATTTCAGAAAGAATTCCATGATGTTTGTGATGTACACTTATATGGGCTTTTCTTCCCGCCTCTAAAACTGAATATGTCTTCATTGTCTTCTTCACTCATTATCATCCTGTAATTGGCACTAAATGCGCTGTTGGATGATCAGATAAATAAATAAACAAAATAAATGTAGATGTAATATGGATGTGGCTTGACACCCTTTGCATAAATGGACCATGGAGGAAGAAACCTTATGACACCGGTCTGAAATGTTGAAGTGTTTTCTAAGTGAATACCAGCAACATTTAAACTGCTAAATTTTGACCTTTTAGGGCACTTTTTTATTGGTTTGAGATGGCTGGTAGTACCTATACTAATAATGTTAGGTCACTGAAGGAATTATTAGTGGCATCAGTAATGGATTTCTTTCCATGCATGTAGGCCTACATCTCGACTAACAAGGATATCAAGTAATTGTGCCATTGGATCTTGACTGTTAGTATTCCCTCACTTGGAAAAAATTGCCAAAAACCCCACATAAATATTCGAGAAGTTCTGTAAACTTCAATTTACATACACTTAAGAAAAGTATGTTAGAAAATTATTTTTCATTTTTGGGCAGGTTTAGAAGTGTCTATTTTGCACTGGAGAAAAAAAAATGGAAAATTGAACCCAAATAAAAATTTCATCAGAAAGTTGTAGTGGGTGAGTAAAATCAGGAGTTTTGAATTAGATTAGTGGGATTTTGATTAAATTTCACTTACTTTGAAATTTGAGGTAAAAATGTTGCTTGGCAGGGCACTGGAGGCAAAAAATCAAACTGCACCAAAGTTAGGGGGCGCGCAGTTAGGAGGCTTCAACAATAGATGAAGGATGTTGTTGTCACAACAGTAAAAGATGAAGGGATGCATGGTTTTTGTTTTTTGTTTTTATTGTAGGAGAAAGACATTAAGAGAAGATGATGGAGCAAGGAGTGGCCAATGAGTGGGCAGCATCAGTGGAGAGCACAGAACCTGAGTAAGTTCCTTCCCAGCACCAGGTTATTCATTGACAAGATGGATTGAGAAAGTGAACTTTATTCCCGCAAGTTTACTCATTTTCCCCTGTACCGTATGTGTCTTAATGACAACCTTCCCAGATTCTTTGAAAATCCACCAGGAGATTTGCGGAAGGTTGAGGAAAGTAGAGCCCACCCCAGCCTCTTGATATGTCCGTAGAATTTTGGAGAATGTATCATTCTTGGGAGGATTCCGAAAGGTTTCCAGGAACCACCGTCTTTCTATGCTGTCCTTACGTCTTGCTGCTTAAGTAATCATTACTTTGTCTACACTTTGTCAGCTCGGACAATTTTGGCCTCCCAGAAAATAATGAAGATCACTCTGATGTTAGCTTTGATGTAGGCCCCAGAATGAGAAACAAAATGAACAATTCTATACAAAACCTTTGTACTGTGACTTCCTTTGTTCGACAAATTCAACAATTCAATGCAGCTTTCCACAAAGGAAAGATACTGCTTACACTTTTTGTTCAGTTATTCAATTTTTTTATGATGAAGTCACTGCTCAGCTTTCGCTGCTGAAGTTAACACCTAGAGTCAGTGATGACACCAGTATTTTATCTTCTTCTTGTTCTTCTCAAGAAGCGGGCTCAAGAGAGACTCAAGTTCCAGTGAGGACCCAAGTGACAGCCACGGACAGTGATGAGGAGCAAGAACAGTGGATGGAGAAAACAGCAGGTAGATAAGCTGTCACTTGTCAGTCATATTTGCCACCTGTGAAGAAATCAATTTTTCAGGTAGATTTGGCCCTGGCACTTCCGAACGTCTTAACCCTAAAAGAGTTTGGTTACATTGGACCACCTCACAGCCCAGGGTAATCCCCCGATCATTGGGCTGTCCAATGCTGGATGTTTTTACAAACTTTGTATGCATGACTTTCCTTCTCAATACAAATATTGAAGTTTTATCTCAGTGTGTCATATGGTTTGACAGTCACTTGGAAGTTGGGAATGGCACCAGAAAAGGATACATTCTTGGTTGACCTCTCTCAGAAAAAAGGTGCTGTGCTGTGTGTTGGATTTTCACAAAAATGGTGTTATTATGACCAAAATGAGTTATTAAAAAACTCCAGAAGGCTTCTGGAAAATATGCACCTTGATAATATTGGAAAATATGTTAAAGGAGGTAGATTCCCTCTCCCCTCACCCCAGCTCTTTAGGATAAAATTCAGAGGTTCTTCAAGAAATTTCCACTCACATAGCCAGAATTTTCACAATTTGTTAAGTTGAGAAAGCAGTCACTGGGTACCCCCTGCAGTTTGTACATGTGTCAACTGGCTGAAGATGGACCTTTTCCGAATCAGCCGGCTTAGGCTGACAGAATTACACAAGTCTGTGGCAAATGACTGAAGCCACTCACTTGTGGCTTTAATCATCTAGCTTCAGCCACACCTTTTGGACATCAGCCTTTTCCGAATGAGCCGGCTTAGGCTGACAGAATTACACAAGTCTGTGACAAATGACTGAAGCCACTCACTTGTGGCTTTAATCATCTAGCTTCAGCCACACCTTTTGGACATCGCCTTAGAACCCACAACTCTGCTTGGGACATGCTCAAACAAAACTACCTTTATTACAATGCATTCAGACATAACTGCTTCCTTTTTGTTACTGTATTTTTACCAGGTGTTAAAGGTGATAGCAGCGTGGTTGGTCCCCTGCCTGTGGGCTCATCTAGCATCACTGGTCTGATAGAGTTAGGCGATAGCAGCGTGGTTGGTCCCCTGCCTGTGGGCTCATCTAGCATCACTGGTCTGATAGAGTTAGGCGATAGCAGCTTGGTTGGTCCCCTGCCTGTGGGCTCATCTTCTGGCATCACTGCCCTGATAGAGTAAGGTGATAGCAGTGTGGTTGGTCCCCTGCCTGTGGGCTCATCTTCTGGCATCACTGCCCCAGTAGAGTAAGCCATCTCTTGTTTTACGACAATAGTAGTCATGATTTTGGTTGTCGCAACAATTTGTTGAAAGGTACAGTCCACCATTCGTCTTTTGTGGATTATTTTCCTTTGAAGCAACAAAAGTACTCAAAATCTAAAGAAGGGAACACAAGAACGAACCTGATGAAGATGAAGATTCAGCTTAAAAGTGAATGCTCCATACTCTGAGAAAACCGTTCTAGGACTTAGATTTTAGATCAAAAGTTGCTGAGTCATGTTTTAAATTGTGCCTGAATTCAGCATCTAGGAAACATTCTCATATTCAGTTGAATGCAGCTACACCTTGTCACCCCCTGAACTGATGAATTATAGAAACTGCTAGTGCCTGTGCATCATGTCAACGCTTTAACGCATTTCTAATAGTGACTTTCTAAAAATTTGAGAAGGCGCCAGCTTGTTTCTTCATGATGACCGTTTGCCAGAAAGAACAATACAATGTGACTGACTCATTAAGTTGCCTTTGAGGATCGTTCACGTAACGTTTACGAGCCCACCTCCCAGCATACGTTCTAGTCCTGCTATCAGGAAACAGCTGCTGGTGAGACATCCATGGTCCACCACGTACGGTTGAAAGCTGGATCTACCTTGGGCCGCCGCTTGGGTAATAAGTGCATTGTCCCTGTGACTTGCTGGATCAGTTCCCCAGTCCTCAGCGGTATGATAACCTCCGGGACAGTCGGGTACAAGCCCCACTCTACAGGGTATATCAAAAAAGTATACAGTCGGAAAATTAACTGCAAAATAAAAACGTGAACATTTTTCGAAAATCTCTTCTCTTACATGGGTTGATTAGAGTATCATGCTGTTATTAAACTTGTGATCATGAACAGATTTTCATGCCTGAGTGACCAGGAGCTATTTTCCTAAATCGCTCAAAAATTGGCTTGCACAGACACTTGCTTTGTTCAGAATTGGATCAAAAGTCCAGAAAAGCAAGTATGGTATGTGCTTCAATAAATATCATTTACTTCACCCATTTAGTCCTCCATGGGACCACCATTTTGTTTCCCACTGATTCATGCCCTTCTCAGCATGTCGGGGACAGCACGCCTGATCATTGCTCTGTTTTGCCTGAGAGCATTGATCTCGGCAGTGATCCTTCCTTCAAGGTCATTCAAGTCCGCTGGTGGAGAAACAAAAACCTTGGACTTCAAACGCCCCCCACAGGAAAAAGTCCAGTGGCATTAGGTCAGGTGATCTCTGTGGCCATTCCACAGGCCGATGCAATGCAATCATACGGTTACCAAAACAGTTCTGTCAGGTGCTCTGTAACCGTTCTCCTCCTGTGTGGTGGAGAACTATCCACCAAGCCCTTTGAAACAATCCATTTCTTTGGTGACGATAACGAGGCATTTGATCAATGACTGGAATGATGTTGGCATTGATCATTTGTACGAACAAGTCACCGTTCATGTTGTATCGAAAGAAGAATGGACCAATAATGCTCCCGTTCCCAATCAAACCTACCCAAACTGTCAGCTTATGTCTGTCCTCACTGCGTTGATAGTCAGAATCAAGTGGTCGTTGGCCATGGGGACGATAGTCTCTGATGTTGTGGGTACTCACAGAAGCATTTAAGGCAAATCCTGACTCATCTTCAATAATCAAATCTTCATGGAAGTGTGCATGTTGGCCAAGGAGCCACTGGCAAAACTGTAATCGTTGCTGATGATCACGTGGAAGAAGCTGGTGTTTAACCATTTGGTAGGGGTGGAAGGGTAAATCCAAGCGACTAATTCTGTTGAATGTAGCAGAGGGTAACCCAAGTCCATTACGACGACAGCTCAACCTCTGGGCTCTGTCCTCTCCTGCCTGCTGATTCGCTAGAGCATTTTGAACAGCTTGGATAGGGCAGCACATCTTCCAGATCGTCGGCGCCTAGATCCTTCTTTGTTTAGGTTGTGACTTGTTCCTGTTACGTTTTACTTTTGTACATTTTTGTAAACTGTTGCTCG